AGTATCGGTGTATATTAGTACAATCCGAATGTTGTGTGTTTACCTTAGGAAACAATTTTGACTTATCGATTACACACACACAAAAAAAATAATATTTTAGGACAACAATTTTAAGTACAATCCAATAGTCTGGTTTTTTTTATTCGTTAGGAGTAATTTTCTTTTTCAAATTTTTTAAATAAATATATATTTTTACCTCAATTTAATGTGTTATATCAACTTAAGTGTTAATTGAATAACACATAACTTACGAACTATATTTAATGAAGGTATAGTGTCTCAAGTCACTAAAATTACTTTGCCATTACACAAAATAAAATGATATTACTTAAAAGAGTCCTTGGTAAATTTCAAATTATCTCGAACTCTTATAAATATAATTAATATCATTTTTCAATATATAAGTCTTTAACTGTTTATAATATATCGTCACTTTAATGAATTTGTTATTAACTTGATCATTGAGTATTGTTTGCAAGTACTCATTCCTTTTTCAAATTGTTTTAGTTGTATCAATGAGTTACGTAGTGACTTCAATTAACACTTCCCTAAGTATAAAATTTAAATTTAGACACATTGGTTGTTAACTTAATCCTAGTTCAATAAAAAAACAATTCTAATATTTTAAAAATATAAATTAACTAAATTAAAAATAAGATTGTAAAAAAAAACTAAGTTGAAATAATATATATATATATATATATATATATATATATACTTAATGGTTGTTCCAAGAATGTTTGTGTGTTATAGATCTAAAATTTTAGTACCTTAATTAGTTGAAAAACAAATAATATATATTTTTAATTACACTCTTGTATACCATAAAGTTATATTAAGTATGAAATAAGATTATCATTAGTTTTTAAAGATTAAGAAATGCATTTAATATAATTTTTTTAAGGGCACTTATAAGAATGTTATGAGATTATAAATTCCATCAAGACAACACTTAATGGTTGTTCCAAGCATGTTTGTGTGTTATAGATCTAAAATTTTAGTACCCTGATTAGTTGAAAAACAAATAATATATATTTTTAATTACACTCTTGTATACCATAAAGTTATATTAAGTATGAAATAAGATTATTATTAATCATATATAAATATGAAACCTGTTTTTTGAGAAAAGCATATATATAACATCTTAAATTTTTACTTTTTGAAATATTTGAAATTTTATTGTCTCAATTAATCTTTAAACTTCGTAAATTATTATTAGAATAATGTGAAGATAAGTGCTTTTCTTACAAGCTTAATATTAGAGGTGGTAAAATGAGTTGGTTCGATCCATTTTGGTCGGGTCTACCAATGACCCATTAAAAACGGGTCAAGTTGGCCTGGTCCATCATTGAAAAACGGGTTGAAAATATTGATCTGCCTCGCCTAAATGCGAGTTAACGGGTCGGCAAATCGGCAAACCAACCCATATTACATTAAAAGAAAAATGTAAAAAAAAACTACAAAAAAATTGTTGACGGGCTTGAAGGGGCAGACTTGGCGAGTTGGAATTATAGGCCCGACCCGTGAGCCACAGTCCATTTTGTCACCCCTACTTAATATTGCTCTCTCTAGTTTGAGCTTGAGTCTCTATATATCTTGACATTCATCCATCTTATGATGATGTTAATGAAAATGAGAGTGTTATTTATTTATTCTTTCTTATTATGGCTATCTCTAAGATTAAGTTGGAGACCAATTTCGTTTGTTGTATTATGATTTTTGTTAATCCAATGAATTTTTATACGTTATGGGAATCAAATATAAGTTTCTCATGAAATATATTATCCTCATAATTTATAAGTGTAAGGTATTTAACTATTATATCACCTTGTGAAGTTAAAGATTAAAAAGTGCATTTAATATAATTTTTTTAAAGGCACTTATAAGAATGTTATTAGGTTATAAATTTCATAAAGGCAACACTTAATGGTTGTTCCAAGAATGTTTGTGTGTTATAGATCTAAAATTTTAGTACCTTAATTAGTTGAAAAACAAATAATATATATTTTTAATTACACTCTTGTATACCATAAAGTTATATTAAGTATGAAATAAGATTATCATTAGTTTTTAAAGATTAAGAAATGCATTTAATATAATTTTTTTAAGGGCACTTATAAGAATGTTATGAGATTATAAATTCCATCAAGACAACACTTAATGGTTGTTCCAAGCATGTTTGTGTGTTATAGATCTAAGATTTTAGTACCCTGATTAGTTGAAAAACAAATAATATATATTTTTAATTACACTCTTGTATACCATAAAGTTATATTAAGTATGAAATAAGATTATTATTATCTTTTAAAATAAATACCAGAAAAGTTGTGTGAAATCACACTAACCATGCCTATATAAACTTTAAAGAAGAAGCATATTGGTAGCCACGATGTTGTGCGTTTACCTTACGAGACAATTTCGACTCATGTATTGCATAAAAAAAAATGAATAAATAATATATATATATATATATATATATATATATATATATATATATAACACAAGACTAATGGTTGAATTATGCGTGTGCATGTTTTTTTACTGAATTATTTTGCGTAATTAGCATTAAAATAATGATGATACATATTAGTACTGTATCGTAAACTCGGCCACTCTGAGAGCTTCTTCCCTAAGTTTTCTTTTATTTTAAACTTTTTTTACTCTTATTTTATCATTATTATAATGACAAATATGATACTTTTACATATGCCATTATGCACTTTCCTTTTATACCTGTCTTGATATCTTATACATTAAGAAATGAGGGAAACTTTTATTTATTCATTTTTTTAATTTCTCTTTATTTTTCTCGTAAAAATAGTTATGAAGCCAGAATATAAAATATTAAGCGTAAAAATAACAACGATGTAATTATAAGTGGTGAAAAAAAGTAAAAATAAAAAATTTAGGCTATGAAATATATATCCGATACAGAAGAGAGCTAATAACACATTATTTTTAACACATCTTTATTATTTATTAAGATTTATTAAAAATTACAAAATTTATAAAATATATTTATTAAGTAAGATGTGTGTTTCATAAAATATGTAACTTTTAATAAATTTTAACTGTAAAAAAACATATTAAAAAAATATGTTAAAAAATATGTTACAAGCATTTTTTATATTCTATATTTAGATAAGATTTATTATCTAATTATATTATATTTTACGTGCTTCCACTTTAATTTCATGATTTCATTTTCGTGTGAAGCGGTGATATACATGCATATACATTAATTTGCATTTCTATAAATTTTTATTGTCCAATTAAAGATAATTCCATATCACTTTCTGTTCGGTTCCGTTTTAATTTTGACAGTTAACGACAAAATATGTTATTGTAGAATCTGTAGCATCCAACATCCTTCCTCGAATTAGGGGTACCATTAAACCGGCACCCGAACCGAATCCGAAAAATTCGATAAAAAATATTGTTTTTGGATGGGTTCGGGCGGGTCTTATGGGTAAATCGGGTTAAAATTTTGATTTTATACGGGTTATATTAGGCGGGTTCGGTTTTAAATTTTTAGACCCGCCAAAAACCGAACCCAACCGAAAATGAGATAAGTTTAAATTTTTATTACTTTTGTATAACTAAATAACAATGATCCAAACTTAAAAGTCTTTATTTCAAGTATAATATAGCCATCAATTTGTAACTTATTTTTTTCCTTTTTCTCATAACTTAGATATTTATTTTGTCTTCTCCTTCCTCATTCAACTTCTCAACACACTAGTCCATTTTTAGAGTTATCTTTTTGCTTCTTTCTTTGTCTTTCTTTTCCATCTTCTTATCTCCATTTTGAGTACATTTTGTGTGACTGTGATTTCTTATGATTTTGTAATCTAACTTTATATTTCTTTTCCATGTAACAACTATGAATTTTGTTATCTTTTATTTTTGCTTCTTTAGTTTGTAAATGTTTCAACTACGAATCTACTTACACCATCTATTGTCACCTTCATTCTATTTTTATACACTATTTTAAAAATATTTTTTATCGTTTTAAGCTTCATCTTCCTTAAGATAAATTGGTTTACAAAAAAATTCAAACCCGATTATACCCACCCGCTTAAATCCGAATCCGTTTCAACCCGAACCGCCTCAAATCGAAAGCTCAGTCAGTCGGATATGGGTCACATTTTTTCAAAATCAGTTTACAATGGGTTGGACATTTTTCACCCGAACCCGACCAAACCCACCCGTTGCTCACCCCTACCTCGAATAGTAGAGCTAGAAATAAAGACTTAGAGTATTCTTTCAAGAATTTAATTAAAATATAAACAACATAATTTTTTTTATTTATATATATTTAGTTTAACTATAATTTAAAAATATAAAAAAAATTTTATTTTTATTTTTATAATAATTATTTTAAAATTATACTCTATATAATTTTTAATTAATTGACTTAGGAATTTTTTTACATGAAGAGTGCATAAAGACTAAAAGTTGTTTAAAACACGACTTAATTAAAAAATTATATCATCCACATTCTCATCACAATACATATGAAGTATGAACCATTGATTCTTGTTAAGCATCTCATACATTTTAGTTCTTTTAATTTCTTCTTTACAATTTAGTCCCTACGATTTATCCCACACAAAAATTTGGCTGACAATTTCACTATAACACGCACTCAAAAACTTTTTTTAATTTACTAAAATAATTTACGAATTTATTAAAACAAACTCGTGTAATGAAGCATTAATTGAACTAAACATCCAATTGAACCTTCTTAGAGTACTTTGACGAGGCATTATAGTTGAATTAAGTTATCATTACAGCAAATTGTTTTCTATAAAAAAAAAAAAAAAAAAGTTGGGGGAAGGGGGGAACGGGAAGCAGGCACACGTACGGAGTTACACGTGTTGGTCGCGTATTGGATGAAGCACGTAAGCGAAACTGTTGCCACGATGTTCCTTAACGACACACGTATCCGTCATCCGTGCATAGCAAGTAACGCATTTTATAATAATCATTATATTATTATTCTCACACACCACACACCAACGCAACGCAACTAAGAAAGAAGAAAGAACGATTCAATCGAAATTGAATTCAATTAGGGCAACCATGGAGAACCAATCCTCAACCCCATCACCGATGCACTTCCTCATCCTCGAGCAAGTTCAGTTTTTGAAGGTCAACGACGATGCCCTCTTGCAGTGGGAGCTCGTCGACGTTGTGGACGCCGAAGAGACGGATTCCGATTCTTCTTCCCCCAACGATGCCCCAATTGAAGAAATTCGCCACCTTCTCATTCTTCCCGATGCGGGCTTAGAAGATCACCGCGATGGTGTTGATGTTGATGTTGATGATGATGAAAAATCGGAGAAAGATTCGGTTTTGGGAAATGGGCACTACTATTATGATGATGATGATGTTGATGTTGATGATGATGAGGATGAGGATGGGTATGGTTTGGATGATGAGCTTGTTCCGTGGAACGTGAGCAACAAGTTCGGGAGGCAGAGGATGAGGAAATTGGGGAAAAGGGCATTTTCGAAAATGCACAATTCGAAGAAGTCTCCTTATCTGTTTGTGAGGCCAGGGTGTGTCCGTGGGAAACATGGTTTGGGCCTTAAACACATTACTGACTCCTAATTAGGCTGCTAATTTACTCTCATTAGACAAAGGGTCTTCTTGAATATAGTCCTGTTAGGTTATTTGACTTTTAGACTCCTGCTGATTCATTAAGATTTCTATTTTAATATATCTGACAGCAGGATCCATCTTTAGGACATGTAATAATTGATGTATTTCTCTTTTATGTGCATACCATGTAATGATTCTGAAAAAACCATTTGCTTTTGTATATGTTAATGCTGATTTTATGTTCTTGGTCGATATAAATTACTTTGGTTCGGATTTGGTTGTGATAACGCAGAACATAGGGATCTCGTGGATTGGGATCAAAGATTGAGGAAAATTGCTTTGAAATCCTTTTCTTTAGGGAAGAGTTTAGTGCATATTTCTGTTGTAGCATTCAAGTTTGAAATGGTTTTCGTTGCAAAATTTAGTCACATCTTCATGTTTGATTTGTTCAAATAACCTTGCTTAAAGTCGAGATTGAGTTGGGTATTCATGCAAATAATTTATTTTTGTAAAAATGGGAAGAAGGAAGTTTCTTCATTCTATAATGCAACATTTAATGGGTACGCTTCTCTTATTAATCAGACACTTTGCCTGAAATGTTAGTAGCACTTAAGCAGCTGAGGGAATTGTGAAATTATGCCAATGCAATGAATAAGTAGCAGTGGCTGGACAGATTTTGATAAATAATAAATAAAAAAAACAATTGTTTGATTCGTATAATTGTTTGGTTTAACTGTTTTAGAGTTTAGAGTGGAAAAGATGAAAAATAAACAATTTCTTTCTTTTATTTATTTATTCACTTGAAAACATAGTACACATAAAAATGTAATTAATACTTTTATTTATACTAGAAGTGTTGATCCACGTTTAAGCAATGTTAGAGGTTCGAATCCTGCCTTTGGGCCAGCTATTTCACCCTTTGAGGTGCTTTTAACGTAGCGAGGAGATTAGTCACTGTTATCGACGGTGAATACTCCAGGGACAAATCTAAAAAGAGGGGACGAGACACTTTATACCTCTAATAGTTATGTACAAATAAATATTATAAATTATGAATAATTATTTAGCAAAAATATAAGATTTTTTTTAATATTTAAAAAGTATAATCATCAACTAAAAAGTGAAGAGCAAATGGGTAATTACCAAAATATATCTCCCATAAATTAAAATTATTATTTTTACTTTCTAAAATGGCATTCGCTATTATTTCTCTATGGAAAATGTATAGAGTAAGATATAGTTAAAAATATCGGTATAGTTGAAAATAAGGGAAATTGTATTCAACTCTTGAAACCCTTTAATTTTTAAGTGAAAATTATTTTTCTTATTTATTTTTTCAAGAGACACGCCCCTTAATTAATAATGTTTTTATTATTAATAACGAAATCATTAGCTTTCATTAAAAGATAAACGTGGTAAGAATCATAGGTCTTTCACGACGACCTTGATTGACCATTGCAAACATATGTTGTTTCTCCATATATTTTCTGTCTGTTTTAAATTCAACCCCTTCAAAATAGGAAATAAATATAATGCATTTTACGTTTGAAGAAATATTTTGTTTTCTGAGACGTCAAAACAAAATTATTGAAACGAGAGTGCGAGATACAATTAATTCACCGAAAAATAAAATAAAATAAAGCAATAGAACCTGCATCTGCATGTTATATATATAAACCAATACTGTCAAGGTCTATTGTGCCAAATTGTTGTTTCATAGATACTCCTTCATAAGTTTGAGCATAACAATTTAGCTGAATGAAAGAATCATAAAGTGGTCAAAATCTCACGCTTTATGGAGACCAAATACGTTGATAAATTTCCAACATCATACCATATTTCATCATATTTGAACTAATCCAAATGAATGTCAAATATACTGCATATTCGGAGTACCATTTGGATTTTTTTTAAAAAGTATGTTGAGAATAAAAGATACAAAGGAATTGTTTTGCCAAAAGTACGTTTACCACTCTCTAACCGATTTCCATCAGTAATCCAAACATAGCTATATCAATATTTTCTATCAAACTGAACACCAACAAACAAAAAAAAGATGCTAAACTTTTCTCGAAATTCATGAAAGTGTAAACGCCTCAATTAACCAAACGAAATGAGGCAACTGGCACAAAAGCGATAAAGCTGGACAACTAATTAAGGTGCTACTTGCTTATAAGCAACACCCAATCTTCTGATTAAACTTCAAATGTTAATGGACCTTATCATGTCACATTACTCTTAAATAATTCATATCAAAATTTTTCATGTCTTACTTCCATGCTAGAATATTATAAACTATCCATACTTTTATATATTTTCTCTCTTCTTTTTTTTCTGTGATTGTTAGTTGGTTACATAGAGAGGTAGCAAGAAGTTGGTTATAAGAAGTTGGTTATAAGGAGGGGTAGACAAAAAATTATTGTTAACTCATTGCTTAATTAAGAACTAGTTTTTACTTTTAAGAAACTAAAATTACAGACAAATCATGTTCTAAGAGGAGATTTTTGTAAGAGCCAACCTAATTATCCCAGGTTGGAGGTGCTATAAGAAATAAAAAGATAAAAATCTTGTTGCGTGTTTAACGAGATTCTTCCTCTTTAATAGTATTATTAAGAGTGTTTTTGATGTGAAATAACTTGTATATAATATGCATTTGAGTTTTTAATTTATAAAAAAATTAATAAATAATAACACTTTAGAGAATGATTAGAAATGATTTAATACTATCTAATAATTTCTCCCTCTTTAAGAGTTTGATACTTAAAATTTTCATTAAGAAAAATACACACACAAAAATAAATTCTGAAAAATTAATATACTAATCTTCCTCATACTCGAATTTTTTACTACCAGAGATTATTCGAATACCTCTCTTCATGTAAGATTAAATATATGACCCATGTGTTTTATATTTATTGATATATAAAGTATAGAAATTAAGGAGCCTTTATTGTAATTAAGTAAAATATTATTATTTGAATTAAAAGAATTATTTCATATCTAATTATTTATGATAAATTACTATTGAAATAAGTTCAACAGTGTATAAGTAAAAAAATTAATAATTAATGGTACTTTGTATTTATATGAGAAGTGAGTGATAACATGCACACAATTCTAATAAAAAATTTTAAAAAAATGCTAATTATCGTTTTGGCACTTTTAAGGATTAAAAGTAATTTTTTTTATTGAAAAGTACAATTAATTTCCCATGATTTTTAATGCAACTTTTCATTAATAAAAATTCACTATTTATTCCTTGATGAGTGACTTATGATAATTAAATTGTTGGTGATGAAATAATTAAACTCTCAACAACTCAAATCCATTTTTTTTCTTTTGCCACCAATTTTTTTCTCTCTAGAGATTAAGTGTGCGATTGGTTTAGGGTCGCAAAAGGAAGCCGATATTTAAAATAATTAGAAATAAGTATTTTATATTTTAATACGCATGACGAGTAAGTTTGAAACTTCTATTCCCAATATTTGTGTGCCTGATTATTTTGAATTTATTCATTTTTAAATTAATTCAACATGTGTTTGGTACTAATATTATATGACAAATGTTTAAGTTATGAGATAAATTTTTATTCTGTGCAGTGTTTTTTTTTGTTGTTGTTGAAAATAATAATTACATTTTATAAGAAACAATTATAGTCAAGATGAGTAAGGTTATTATGAGCAACAAAACTCTTTCTTTTTAAGTATTTAATGAATTATTGTTGACCTAAAACTCACTCAAAATTATTTGTTTATTAAGTTTGATTAATGTTGTGAACATTAATCCTTACGCTTAGTGGTTTTGTCCAATGGGTGGACAATAAAGAACATAAGTAATACCTTTTTTTAATTATATTATTAGTATAAAACATTTATTAATTTTACTAATAAATAATATTTATCCCAGACATTATAATTAATTAAATTTTTGTCATCTTAATTAATAATAATTATATGAAATATTTATCATTTTTTATTTTTATTAAAAACACGAATTTTTGCCATGTCTAAATTTTTGTTGCCTTAATTAACGAAATTAAAAATTATTGAAGGGTAGGAATTATATTTTTTAATTCATTAAAATCAAACTCACTATATAAGAGTTACAACTACACTCGCATTTTAGTTAATATCAAGTTAGCTAGATCACTTGATGTTAAGAATTGAATTTTTTTTTGGTTCGTTCCTGGAAGATCCACTCCCGACAGCGGTGACTAATCTCCTCGCTACGAGAGAGGCACTTCAAAGGGTGGGATAGCTGATTCCTAGATTTAACGCGGCTGCATACACAAGGCAGAAGTCGAACCCCTGACCTTACTTAAGCGTGGATTAACTCCTACCGCTGAACCACACGTTTGGGGTTATGTTAAGAATTGAATTTAAACATACACAAACTTGTCTTTTTATTTATTTAATATCTGTTGAATCAAACAAATTTAATTTTACTCACATAAAATGTAAAACGTTGTTTTCATATTTAAGATATTATAGTTAGCTTCATTTCGATTTTATCCCCAATGTTATTATTTACATATTATCACAAGTTTGCAAAACGTTTCAATCATATTTTTGGGCAGTGCTAGCACCAAACCATCTGCGGCTCAAACCATCAAGTTGTATGGATCAAAAAGTTCATCAAAGTTGTTTTCATTTTTAGTAACAAGTCCTCATTTGGGTATTTCTTTTGTAACTTTTGTCTCACTAACTGTTGATATTTGTACCATGCCATTAAAAGAGATAAAAAAATTGAGACATCCAATTCTAATTATTAAGATCGAATATTAATTTATGATTTATTTATTCAGAATCACCTAAAGCTCTAGTCATTATAATAATAATAATAATAATAATAATAATAATTATTATTATTATTATTATTATTATTATTATTTACTAAAATATTTATAATCAAGAGTAGAAAATTAATTACAAACAGTAGTCATTCTGCTTAAAATTTAAATTGTTTTATGTCGGCATTTGTTCTAAGTATACGACCCTCTCTCTCTGATTTAAATTGTTTCTTTTTCTTACTACTTTTTTTTTCCTCTAAGGATTTTCTATTGGTTCATACTTAATTTGTGGGTTTTACTTCAATCTAGAATTTATTCTATGCAAGTATGGCAGCTTTGGCATGGTGTAAATTAATTTCTTTGATCACTGGTTTGAAGTGCTTCTATATATAGAAAATTATTGCTTTATTGAGTTTATTCTATACCCATCACTGAGAAGAAGTACCACTTTTTTCAGAGGGAGGGGCAAAAAGGGTTTGAGTGAAAAAGACATGATGCTAGGCGAAGAAGCAGTAAAGGGATCATCAAAGTGTCAAGACTGTGGGAACCAAGCCAAGAAAGATTGTTCATACTCAAGGTGCAGAACTTGCTGCAAGAACAAAGGGTTTAACTGCCAAACTCATATCAGAAGCACTTGGATTCCAGTCGATAGAAGACGCCACAAAGTGGAGCAGCAGCCACTTCCCACTACTAATCTTCTGGGAGATATTATTCCTAAAAGGCACAAGCACAACACATTTTCAAGTACTGTGTACATTTCTCCACTGTGATTTTTTTTAACCCAAATTAGGATCCATTCATATAATACTGCCCTAGCATGCTGTCTTTTTCCTCAATTTTGCTATTATTCTATGTCTGAAAACATCATCATACTCATAAAACAAGATATATTTGTTCACCCTATTTTCATCTGTTGTCTGAATCTTCAACCTGGTTTCAAGATTACAAATGAATCAATAGAGTTAGTCACGGTGAGAATGAAGTACAAGTATAAAGACTTACTGTCTGTTTAGATATAGTTTTAAAAGTGTTTTTTGAGGATTTTTCTACCAAAAATTAGGAGTTTTTTCAATGAATTAGTTCTAAAAAATACTTTTTTTTATCCAAACAAGCTCTTAGGATCAATATTCATTGTCGCTATTGTACCAACAAAAAAATATATATATCACTGATTATTTCAGTTATTATTTAATTCAGGTTTGGAGGAGTTCAGATTTCCGGCTATTATGAGTTCCACTGCGTTATTCAGCTGCGTGCAGGTGCGCTCTATGGATGACACGGTTAATGAAATCGCGTATCAGACATCTGTGAACATTGGAGGACGTGTATTTAGTGGTCTTCTTTATGATCAAGGCCCTGAACAAAGCTTCAATGCTAGGGGTAACAACATGTCCATAGACCCTTTTGATCAACAACACGATCTCAATCTTAGGAGTGCTTCAATCCATACTCGTGATGGTGCAACTATGCCTCCACTATCAACCACTACTACCCAGGAACTTCTTTTCCCTCCTCCACAACCGTTTCCCCTAGCTTCCTTCAGGCCTGATATGACGTACTTGCCACATCAGAAATCTTAATTTCTTCTTAAGAATGTGTGTTTAGATTTAATTCAATTTTATGAAGGTGAGAATTGTCATTACTTTGCTAGAAAAACTAAGAGGGTATACTTAGATGCGGGGAAAGAATAGAATGAAACAAAATTAATGTTTACTAATTCAACTGGAGGATGACTTTATTAGTTCAAATATAGAGCCTCTAGATATATAAGCAACATAAAGGGAAGGGGGGCAAATTCATTAATCAACGAAGATTGAGGGAGCTTGTTGAATTGTTTTGGTTAAGTACCCTTACCAATGACTATTATATTATACATTTGTTACTTGAGTTTGATATTTAATTTAGCATGTAGCACATGCCCCTACTCATAGGTTTGGCAGTTTTGTCTTCTTGTTCTACTGTGATTCACTTTTTACATCTTTGATAATCATAATGTTCCTACTTCTAGTCCCTTTTGTCGCAACTATACTGTGAGGAAAGTTGGGACAAATTGCCAAGTTTTCATTATCATCTATATTTAATTCCACATAAATACAATATGGTTAGTGTCATGTCTATAAGCTGCATCAAACCCAATGTCTCAAGATAGGAACAGGCAACATGATAACATAACTAATGAAAATGTTAATCTGCGGTTTGGCAAGCCAAGAATTTTTCAAAGAGTTAGGCACTTTTGTTTGTTTCGATGGCATGACATTGAACACAAATCCAAAAGGTCGTCCTTTTTCTTTTGCCTACCCAAAACGAGAATAATGCGTAGTTTACCTAATTAAGTTCAACATGAATCTGCTACTTATTTATTTTTTGTTATTTCCTTGCTGAAATGCGGTTCAATTCGAGATAAACGATTTTTATGTACGACTTTTTCTAATAATATACTATAGAGATACATATGAAACCTAGCTTTCATATTTTCGTAGAAATGTACATAATATTACATATACATGCACCGCATAAACAGACACATATGTACACATATATTATATAAACGAATAAATATATACGTACAAATACAAGGGAAGCTTAAGAACAAGGGAAGAATCATCCGTAACCCTAAAAAAAAAATTTTTTTGGCGCTGCACAAAAGAGGTTATGAAAGGGTAGGCATCTTGTGAAACTTAGTTTCAAGATAGCTTTTGCAGTAAAGTACTAGATAAACAAAGTGGGCTCAAACTTTTTATAAAAAAGAGGCAGTCACTAGCTATAAGGAATACTCGTACACAATGTGAGGAATATATCCTTTATATATATATATGCTTGAAATATATATTGAGCCACGTACCAATCATTTCATGCACACTAAGAAATTTTCAGACTGCGTGCGGATTCTCTCCATGACTTGCTTATTCTTGCTCGTCATCATATTAAACTATCCTGATTTTATGATGATAGATAAACGCATGATTAAGTTCAATGAGGGACTTTGCTAACATTTAATTAATTCGGGAAAGAAATTAAATTGGACGATAAAATCTCACCTTTCTTTAAAGTTGGTATGGCAAATCGCAATCATGTCTTTCAGCAAAGCTTTTAATTCAGATTATAGTATATGATTAAATAAAGCACTTCAAACACCTCCTATGTATCTTTCATGTTCGATCTTAGCGTTCATCAAGATTCATTAAGCTGAAGATGGGGTCAAGCTCCTTACCAGTATGCCACTCAAGTTATGGAAATCGACGTTAATTATAACTAGATTGATCATAATATGCTACTCATTATTAATTGGAAGATGATTAATTTTCATAAATTAAAGAACAGATAGATAATCAGTATATAACATGTATTGACATTGACATAAATTTCCCTTTCCTCTCATCCTCACAAATATATCGGTCTTTTTGCTGCTAATTCTTTGACTTGAAATTAATCACTTCTTTCACTACTATTTAGATGTCCATTCCAACTTTTAGACATGATAATGCTTAAGTTAATTTATCTGTAATTCGATCGTACATATCGCTGGATGTCATGAGAATGTATGTACACACACATCAACATATATTGCTCATTTGATTCTTGTCTATTATTTATTGTGTTAAAAGTAGCATTGCAAGTATGTTTTGATGCCTTACTTAATCTAATTAATCAGCCGTTAGATGCTGATCTAATCACCTCAAATATTATATATGTAAAATGTCATTATCATCAAAAAGAAACTTAAAGACTCTAAAACCAAAGTGTTTTAAAATTGATGAGCATTATTTTATTGTTGTTAAAGGAATGATGATTCTTTTTTTTTTTTTTAAATGTACTGCAATTATATCGACCTCTTGTTGAAGTGTTAAGACAGTTGGTTTTGTGTATTGTTTTTGTTTTATTTATTTATTTATAATTATTACTATTAGTAGTAGACCCTATACATTCAAGAGGGGAGGGATAAACTTTATTAGACTCAGATACCTTAAACCAAATTTTGGTTTGAACCGAAAAAAAAAAGGTGATTAGAAGATAAAATTCTATTAGAGATGATCGTATTCTAACAAATATTTATTAGGTATTAATAAAGTTGACAAAATTTTATATCAATGATATGATTACTAATTTTTTTTATTAACCTAAATGTTAAATTGAAATTTTAAGTTTCTAAATTTTTAAAAGATTTAATTACTCTTTTATTTCCTATTATTTCATAAACTTTTTTTTTTTTAAGTTTCTATGATTAAAAATGATTTATTTTGTCTTTATACATTTTTTTTATTATTTTAGTCTTTGTCGTCTATATTTATTTTAAAGATTGAAAATATAAAGTTTATAAAATTATGAAAATTAAAAAATGATATATATAGGACTAAAATAAAATATTTCTAATTATAGAAAGATAAAGTTCAAGAAATTATAAAATAAAAAAACAATTAAGCCTTTTTCAAATTATGTAATACTCCAATAAGTAAATCCAATTTATTAATTAGTATATAATATATGTTTTAAACAAAAATAAATGTCGATGTAATAAAATTATATATGTAGCTGCAAATGTTCAATTTATCTAAAATTAACTAGCATGATTGTTAATGTCAAAATATTCAATAATTGGATTAATAAAATTTAATTTGCACGTAGAATTATTAAAGAAATAAAATTCAAGAGTTAGATTTAGAGTAGATAACTTTACCTCATCTTATTATAAAATTGTTAAATTATTTTAACTTTATTTCGTATTTTTTAAAAGATGTAAAATATTAATTAAAATTATAGTATATTTATAATTGTTATGTCAATCATTTTGTATTATATTCTTAAAAAAATAATGTTTTCATACATTAATGAAGTATGTATATATATATATATGTTTGGGAAATAATTTCATTTTAATAATTTAAATAAAAATGTTTATTTGTCAAAACTAAATTACATACCTAGTAAAGTGGTAAGAGTTTTGTAATTTTCACATCCATTAACAAAGTAAGAATTGCTTCTTTTTTTTTTTTTTACTATTATAAAATAATAGATGTGATAAAATCATAGAACCCTAGTTTTTTTTTTTTCTCAATCGATTTTTACATAATTCACACACCAAACAAATACCCGTTTTCCATTAAGTGGCTAACTCAGCAAGGAATTGGCCCATTTATATTTTACGCGGCAACTTTGAGGCCCAGATCCAAGCCCACAAGTTTGGCGCGAAAACAATAACTCTTTCCTCGCCATATCTTCAACTAGCTATTTCCCCGCCATATCTTCAACTAGCTATTCATCCCTACTCACTACTCCACTGCGCGCGCGCACTCTCGTTCTTCTCTTTCCGATTCTTCTCTCCGCGACCATAACCGATGGCTTCCGATTCTTCTCCTCCCAATTTCAACAACGGTTCGTATCTCTCTCTCTCTCTTCCTTTTTCACGTGATTTCCGTTTTCCAATTTCTCTGATTCCGAAATTCCCCAAAACCCCTTTTCAGGTCCTTCATCTCCCGACGACTCTCTCTCCAGCCCCATCGCTAACACGTTCTCCTCGCCGGCCTCCAGGCGCCGCCGCCGCCCCCCGACCACTCCCTCCGCCGCGTTCGGGACCCCATCGGAGCGCCGCTCCCGCTTTGCCGCCTCCGATGCCACCCCGACGCCGCGATCCCGCCAGCGCGGCGGCGCCGGGCGCGTTCCCGCCACGCCGACTTCCACCACCGACGACGTGCCGGCCTCTTCCGAAGGCGGCGACGGCTACGACATGGACGACGCCAGGCCCACCTTCGTGTGGGGCACCAACATAAGCGTGGAGGACGTGAACGACGCCATTCAGAGGTTTCTGAGGGACTTCAGAGAACCTTCTGAGGGCGACGATGAAGGTTTGCATTTGCACACTGAGGGGAAGTATGAGAAATTGATCGTGCAGGTTATTGAAGTTGAAGGAGACTCTCTTGATGTTGATGCTCACGACGTGTTTGATCATGACCCTGATTTGTATACCAAGATGGTTAGGTACCCTCTTGAGGTGCTCGCGATTTTTGACTTGGTTTTGATGAATATGGTTAGCCGGTTGAAACCCATGTTTGAGAAGCACATACAGACGCGGATTTTCAATCTCAAAACCTCAACCTCGATGAGAAATTTGAACCCTTCTGGTGAGTTTTTACTTTTTAGTGCATCATTCAAAATCATTTGTCTTGTTGTAGAATGTACAAAATTGGGCTCATACAATGATATGATTACACTTTTTTTTAATAGACATTGAGAGGATGATATCGTTGAAGGGAATGATTATAAGAAGCAGCTCAATCATACCGGAAATTAGAGAAGCTACATTTAGGTGTCTTGTGTGTGGTTTCTGTTCTGATCCAGTTACTGTGGAGAGAGGTAATATTTATGTGATGTTTTTTTCGCGAGTTTTCATTTCAGTGTTGTTTTTACATCTGTAATGTTTTGTTTGTTAACTATTGTGATTTTTAGGGCGAATAACTGAACCTACTATATGCGCGAGGGAAGAATGTCAATCCAGGAACTCCATGGCACTCGTTCACAACCGATGCAAGTAATGCACCTTACCTTCTTTTTGTTTGCACAAGAAAGAGATTTTTTAAGTTGACAATTTCAAATGGGAGCACTTGATTTTGAGTTGTATAATCTTTGAGTGAGTCAAATTCTGAAGCGTTGAGAGTACTGGGTAGAATTCAATGACATCATAAATCGGATGTCGTGAGCTTAGATTTCAGTTCTGTTAGCCTTTAACATTTATTTATTTTTTCATGATCAGGTTTACTGATAAGCAAATTGTGAGGATCCAGGAGACACCCGATGAGATACCTGAAGGAGGAACACCTCACACAGTTAGTTTGCTGATGCATGACAAGCTTGTGGACACTGGAAAGCCAGGTGACAGAGTTGAGGTGAGACCGTACCATGACATACCTAGTGACAAATAAATGTCTATAAGCTTGTTTAATCATCCCATCTAACGTTTTGTTTTAAGTCAGGTTACTGGCATTTATAGGGCCATGAGTGTTAGGGTTGGACCAACTCAGAGAACTGTTAAGTCATTGTTCAAGGTATTTGTTATGTTCTTGACTCTTATATTTAGAGCTCCACCTCCACATCTTTTATCCTGTCTAATTGATGTTTTTATTTTGTTCTCTTCATGTTGTAGACATATATTGATTGTCTTCACATAAAGAAGACTGATAAGTCTAGGATGCTGGTAGAGGATGCTATGGATGTTGATGAACCAGGCAAAAATTCAGAGCAAGTTCTCTTTAATGAAGAGAGGGTACAGTTTGTACCAATGTTCCATGAAATCCACCGCTTATTTTGTTACACTTGCTAATTGCAAGCTTGTCTGAGTTGCAGGTGGCTCAACTGAAGGAGCTCTCAAAAAAGCCGGATATATATGAAATACTGACAAGATCATTGGCGCCAAACATATGGGAGCTAGACGATGTGAAGAAAGGTCTTCTTTGTCAGGTCAGGTATCTTTCTAGTTATGCATTCATTGATTGTTTGACCAATTTCCTGAGGGTGCTAGTCTATACTTTGCAGCTTTTTGGTGGCAATGCTTTGAAGTTAGCTTCTGGTGCTAGCTTCCGTGGTGATATAAATATTCTTCTTGTTGGTGATCCTGGGACAAGCAAGTCCCAGCTACTTCAGTACATACACAAACTATCTCCACGTGGCATTTACACCAGTGGAAGGGGGAGCTCTGCTGTTGGATTGACTGCTTACGTAACCAAGGACCCTGAAACAGGGGAAACTGTATGGACCAAAATAGTGATTCTTTTTACTGTTTTCTAATCTCTAATAGAAACATAATGGAACCTAACTATTTCTGCTTACCCTTCAGGTTCTAGAGAGTGGTGCCCTAGTTTTGAGTGACCGAGGTATCTGTTGTATTGACGAATTTGACAAAATGTCTGATAATGCGAGGAGCATGTTACACGAGGTTGATTAAGTTCTTTGTCCATATACATTTTCCAACAAAGTATTTCTGCAGTCATATCTCTGTTATTTACCCAAAACAATGATATATCGTTTAAAATTTATGCTACAATTCCTACTAGGCTAAGACTGGCAACTCTTCTGCAGGTCATGGAACAACAAACTGTTTCAATAGCAAAGGCAGGTATTATTGCTTCCCTCAATGCTAGGACTTCGGTTTTGGCTTGTGCAAATCCAAGTGGGTCTAGATATAATCCTCGCTTGTCTGTCATTGACAACATACACCTTCCTCCCACACTTTTGTCCAGGTTAGATTTGCTCATAAGATGTGATAATTAGATTATGGATCAGGCAGCACATGTATGCAAATTCCTACCTAGGCATCTTAAATCTATTAGCTATATTGTACCTTGGCTTTGAATATTTATGATTCATTGTTAAGCAGGAGTATTTAACATGGTTTTGAATTGATTAATTCTCTTAATCAAGCCATAGTGTGAGAAAGAGTTAAATAAAGCTTGTTAATGCCATGAAAAAATATATTAAAGTTACTGAACCGTGTTGCAGGTTTGATTTAATATACCTGCTTCTTGACAAGGCTGATGAACAAACAGACAGGCGACTTGCCAAACATATTGTGTCCTTACACTTTGAGGACCCCGAGGTTTAGAAACTTTTCAATCATCTTATTCATTGTAACGATCGAAACTTTAGTGGCTTTACTTACAATGTTCTGTATCTGTAATTATAGAACATGGAGCAGGACGTGTTGGACCTTTCTACATTAACTGATTATGTTAGCTATGCCCGAAAGCACATAAACCCACAGCTTTCTGACGAAGCCGCCGAAGAATTGACTAGGGGTTATGTGGAAATAAGAAAAAGAGGAAATTTTCCTGGGAGTAGCAAAAAGGTAATACTTTTTCAGTTCAAAATGATTCCATTCTTTGTAATGTTGTTGCATGCAACTAAAATGTTTTTCTTAAAATATTTTTCAAGAGCTTCAATCAGTTTAGAATCTTTTGATAATGAATTCATTTATGCTATAACGAGTAGAGTAATTTTCTCAGAACTAGGAGTGATGTTCATCATAGGTCACCATTATTGGGTAATAATGTGATTTGATAGAATTAATTTCTGATGTTGGAATTGAGCTGGTTTTCAACTTTTCATCTGTCTCTTTGCTGTGTATGCTGATCTTGTCAAACAATTAATCAGGTGATAACAGCAACGCCAAGGCAGATTGAGAGTCTGATACGCCTAAGTGAAGCATTAGCTCGGATTCGCTTCTCTGAAAAGGTTAGTTTAGTTGGACTCGATTTCTTCGTGATATGCAGATATGGAATATAGCATGCATCATTATTTAATAATCTAATGCAAACAGGTTGAAAAGCGTGATGTAATGGAGGCATTTCGGCTTTTGGAAGTTGCAATGCAGCAGTCTGCAACAGATCACGCTACTGGTAGCTTTCCAATCAAGCCTGATTCACTCTTATATTTCATATTGACAGAAACTAGATAAAATGTGTGTAACTTTCATGTCCTTTTTTTCTTCACAGGAACTATTGACATGGATCTTATTACTACTGGAGTTTCGGCTAGTGAAAGGATGAGACGAGAAAGTCTGCAACAAGCAACCCGCAACTTAATCATGGACAAGATGCAGATTGGGGGACCTTCTATGCGGTTATTGGAGGTATGGAAGCTTGTTCTATATATTAAAGTACAGATTATATCAAGTTTGTAATGAATTTCTGATGTAGTTAAAATGATTTGTAGTTATTGGAAGAATTGAAGAAACAGGACACTGGTAGTGAGATTCATCTTACTGATGTAAGCTAGTCCTAACTTCTCCTTGCAAAAGGATTTAGTTTTTTAACACCTATAAGGATAAGTTTTCTAATGGGTTAAATTCTTGTTAATACAGCTAAGGAATGCAATTGCTACTCTCGCTACCGAAGGATTTGTTACCATGCATGGTGACAACGTAAAAAGATCGTGATAACACGAGGCAGGGGACTGTCTGATATTTATACCTTGATCGAAGTTTAGGATTGAAGGGAGTATATAAAGTACGTTATATGATGTCTTGTGAATGCGTTTGTTAGTGCTTATCAATTTTTTTTCTTCTTTTCTTTGAGGTAGTTTCACTAGTTAACCATTTTGTTATAATTGAACATGCATACCTTTTTTAACGAACGGTATCATAGCGTGTTAACTTATAATGTTCTTTATATAGCATTGGAATTGAATTCTTATCTCCGGTTCTAATAATATAAAATAGCAGAATATAACATTTTCAGTATGTTATGAAGTTAATGCAATTATTTCATACTGCATCCAAAACAAATCAATATGTCCAATGTCCAATGATAGCAAAAGGACACCCTTTCATAATGTCGTACCACGAATGCGGGATGTAGGCAGTTTCTTAGTCCGTGACAGCTATCGCAAAATCTTGTCCTGTAGTCTATCAGGGTTAATTATTGACTATTGACATTGTAGTGGTCATGTTAACCAAAAGTGAAACTTCATTCATAGAAAACAGAAAGCTCGTTGTGCTCAAGTTGGAAAAGATTTTACCAGAGTGTTATCGTTCGCTATATATATATATATTCGGGAGGGATTTGGTTATTGTAAAAGAAAGTTTATTTAGATTTATTTTGTTTAATAATTCATGTTTTATATTAAATTTTAATAATTTTAATGCATAGATTAAGTTTGTAAATTTTTTAAAAATTTTAAAATTATTTGATATTTTATTTTATTAATTTAAATTGATAGATAATCATATAATTATTTTATGTATTGATTTGAATTAATAAAAGAAGTATTAAATAGTTTTTAAATTTTTTTTATAAATTTATAGATTTGATTTATTTATTAAAAATTTTAAATTTAACTGTTAGATTGTTGAAATTTAATATAAAATATGAGGTTATTAAATAGAGTAAACTTAGATAGATTTATTCTTGGAATAAAGAGATTTTTTTCTATATATATAGAGAGAGGGAGAGAGAGAGATATTTATTATTTTAACTTTAAGAAAGTTTGGATAGATTTATTTCATTCAAGTATTAATTATTTAATTGTTAATTAAAAAAATTTAGTATATAAATAAAGTCTATTATTTTTTAAAGGAAATTAAAAATTATTTAATATTTTATTTTATTAATTCAAATTAAAAACAATCAAATAAGTATTTTATACATTTATATGAATCTTTTCAAATTTTCTAAACTTTTGTAAATTTGATATATATTAATTTTTTTTTTAATTTAAGTAATTAAATTATTAAAATTTGATATAAAATATGAGTTATTAAATAAAATAAATTTAATATTTAACATTTATTAAAATTATCAAATTGTCACAACTTAGACAATTCAATTTATTATGAGTTTGAGTAGGGTTAGATTTAAAAGAATTTGCAAATTTTAATATTATTGAAAATTTAATCTAGTCCATTGAGAATTTGGTTCACTTGGATTAAATCTATATTGATCAAAATCATAAGTTTACTCACAAAAATATAAAACTTTATGGCTCGCTCATGAAAAAATAAAAAAAAATAAAAACACAACTTACACAAAAAAAGAGAGATTAAAATTCATAGTTCACTTATTCATTCGGTCAAATATCACATAGGAAGAATTATTTATTGGATTAAAGATTCATTTTTGTAGAAGAAAAAAAGAAAAAATCCAGATTGTGTAGTTAGACATTTGAAAGAAGAATAGATTTTTTTTTAAAAAAATAGATTTGGTTAGACAAGTATTTTATAAAATAGATATTTAAAAAAAATATAGTTGGACATTAAAAAAAAAGTTTTTTAATTTTTTTTTAAATTAAGTAAATCAACTCATTTAACACGTCAACTTGTAATGAGATGAATCACACTCATTTTTTACTCAGTAGAAAGTGAGTTAGATCAAATTCATTCATTTTTTGTTAGATCATGATGAGTTACATCGAATTAAATAACCTATTTGAATAACTTTAAAATATACGATGAGTTGCTTTTAGAGTAAATCTCTTTGCATAAATTTGAAACAAAGTATATGAAAAAAGTTTTCTATACTCACATTTTATTCAATTAATTAAAATATGAATTTTATTTTAAAATTATAATATAATGAAAACTCAAGTTAGGATATATTTATTGAGTGTGTTAAATTTTAGAAGGAAAATATTCCCGTACTCCGCGAAAGATATTTTTTTGGTAATGAACTCAAAATAAATAAATTATAATATAATTAAAATTTAAGATTTCACAAAATACACATTTAAAGGGGAACTGAATTCTAAACGAGTTAGTATAAAAGAGGAATTGAAATCACTCATGTCACAAATTGTGTCTTATTCCTTATCTTTTCGATAAAAATATGTCATGTCAACAAAATAGACAAAAAATTGAGTTTCTCAACATGCATTCACACCGATCATGAAGCAGAGATCACTTATGTATATAATTTATTAGGACTTATAAAAGAAATAATTTAGAAATTTAGGTCTTATAATTTTTTAAAAAAATAACACTAAAAAAATTGTAATGCTCTACCGAACTATAAATCTATAAATAACGCTAAGAATATAGTGACCAATGACTATATACACGAATTACGAAATAAGGAAAACACATTAGTGGGGCCGAAGAAAAATAAGTGTCACAGGCAATTAGCTTACCTAACTTCAATTTTAAATAAGACAATTTTATAAATACATTAAACCACATCGTTAGTGATCAAACAAACTTTAAAGGTATTTTTTTAATTTGAAAAATATTTTCCATTTTCATTTTACTTTCTATAAACAATTATTACAATTACCTAAATTTTATCTATTTTTTTATTTCTAACTATTTATACAAAAATGTTGAAAATAATTCATTCCCTTTTACGAATAATTCAATATATTTGATTAATTATTTTGATCCTTTATATTTGTTATCTTAGAAAAAAATGGCATTATTTTTTTTTTAAAATAAGATAATAAACAACAGTATTTTGTTCTTAAATATGCTTTAAAGGTTTAGGGTTTAATTTGAAACAAACTTTACTTTCTATAAAGGTATTTTTTTAATTTGAAAAATATTTTCCATTTTCATTTTACTTTCTATAAACAATTATTACAATTACCTAAATTTTATCTATTTTTTTATTTCTAACTATTTATACAAAAATGTTGAAAATAATTCATTCCCTTTTACGAATAATTCAATATATTTGATTAATTATTTTGATCCTTTATATTTGTTATCTTAGAAAAAAAATGGCATTATTTTTTTTAAAAATAAGATAATAAACAGTATTTTGTTCTTAAATATGCTTTATTTATTTATTTATTTTATCTATTCATAGTCATTTTATAATTATACATGTATACATTCATAAAAAAAAAAGATGAAAATAATGATGAATTAGATGTCACAATAATAAATAATTAGAAATAAGGATAGTATATTAAAATGTTAAAAGATAGATATCAATTATTATTAATGCAATTACACTACCTTCATTTAAAACGACAAGAGTATTATCCATTGTTAAAAAACCTCCTTATAATAAACAAATGATATAAATTTTATTATTATATATATGTTATAAAAAAACTTTAACAAAAATTATATTATTTCATTTAAATTTTACAATAAATTATATTCCTTTTATGTGATAAGAAAATAATAAAATACATTTTTTTCTTGAAAAACATAAATATTATGTTATTACTATCTCATCGATCTTAATGTATTTAACTTAATATTACTAAAATGTATTTATTATAAAATTTTACCATATTTGTTAATCAACTATCGTGTATTAAATATAAATATTTTTTATTGTATACTAATATTTTTAATTTATTTAATTTAATTTTTATTTATCATAAATATTTAAATTAATTTTTAAAATAAATTATCTATAAATAAAAAATAATGTGTTGTAATATAAATTATTTATCATAAATCTAAAATATAATTCATATGTTTAAATATATGTGAGTACATTTTTTTAATAATTATATTTTACTTAATAATATTTTTTAATATAATTTTATACATTTAAAAAGGTTGTATGTTTTATTAAATTTTAGCTAATTTAATAATATTTGTTTTGAAGATCTTAACATGTGATTACATCTTTCTCTAATAGTCATAAATCATTCCAAATATGTAATTTTACTAAAAATATCCTTAAATTTAATTATTTTAATATTCCACCAATAAAGTTTAGTGGTTAAAAAACGTTTACACGTCTAACAAATATATATATTAACATAAAATATTATATTTAATAAATATGTTAAATTGAATAAATATATTCAATTTAAGAAATACACTAATTTTAATAACTATATAAATTCAAAAAATATATTAAATTTTAATAATTATATTATATTTTATAAATATGATATATTAGTAAATATAATAATCAGTATTATATAAAAATACTAGTTTATTTAAATATTTTTAAGAATATCATATTGATAATATCAATTAATATCGTTTATTTAATACTTGTATTTGATTTGATTTTAATTATATATTATTTTCATTTGATTATTTTGAAATGTCTGGTAAAATAATAATTATAAATAAATGTTTTTAAGTATATAATTAAATTCATTAGAATTTGTAATTTGTAATAATTTTTAAATCAGTAATTAAATATGAAAATTAAGAAATAAATTTTTAACTATAACACATTTAAATTTGTTATCAAACTCACAGAGATCACAATATAATATTTGTATTATTGAGAAAATATTTGTATTAGTCTACGATAAAATCTTAGATGATTTATTGAATTGAAATTTTATAAGATTTTTTATATTACATTTTGTTTATGAATTTTAAAAGATTTTATGATTTTTAAGATTTTTTTTAAAAAACTCTGTAAAAATATAATAATTTTTAAAAATTATATTTAAAGACTTTTTTTATTCACGATCTTGTAATGTAAATTTTAATTGATTTATATTTCAATAATTTATAAGATTTATTTATTTTTATTACATTTCAAGGAATAATATAGATTTCTAAAAAATAATATAGCTAATAAAAAAATATAAATGACAAGATTTAGATAAAAAAGAAATTAATAAATTTTTAATATTTTCATAAGTAATTAATTATGATTTAATGTCCTTATAAATAAACATTTACCTACATACAATCCTTTATATATTTATATTTTCTTATTTATACTATTGAATTTAAGTAATATATTTAAATTTATAATATTTTTTAATTAGTAGCATTGGAAAAATATTTTTTAAAAATATTTTCAAATATTTGATACTTTAATATTAAATTTTAATCCATTAAATTTTCCATATTTTTAGATATTGTAAACTTTTTTTTAGACAATTTTTTTTAATTAAATATCACTAGATTTTAACATACTTATAAAAAATTTATAATTATCTTAATTAAATATCACTAAATTTTGATATATTTAAAAAAAAAAAACCTTTAGTTATTGTAATTGAATATTAAAATTACATATATAATTTTTATTAAATATTATGAAATAATTTATAATAAATTTTTTAAATCATTTAAAATCTCAATCCAGTTGAATACATAAAATGATTGGTAATATAATTTTTTTTTATCATAATGGAAAGCCAATGAAAATTTAAAATTATATAATTTTTTTTATATATATTCAGATCCGTCAATACAGAAGATGATATTTTTTAAAATAAAAAAGTTACAATACAGTATTCTTATATCTAAAAATATAATTTACTTTTATTATAATTAGTTAATGATTAATCAGAAGTAGAAGGTAAAAAAAATATTAGAGATGTTAATTGTTAAATTCGGAGCCAGGAAAAAGTAGCTGGAAAAATGAGAAATTAACAAGCAAGGAACGTGATGGAATTGGAAGCTAGTTATGAGTTTACCCTGGAAGGAGATTAAGAATTTAAGATTAAGATTAAGAGAGAGAGAAAGAGAGTGAAAGAGACGAGGAAAGTCTCTCTGTGGCTCTAGTTGAGAGAACTGAGATCGATCATTCGAGAGAGAGCGAGAGCGAGAGCGAGTGTGTGAGAGAATGGGAGAGGTAGCGCGTGGAGGTTGTTGCCCTCCGATGGATCTGTTCCGTTCGGAGCCGATGCAACTTGTTCAACTCATCATTCCCATCGAATCCGCTCACCGCACTGTCTCCTACCTCGGCGACCTTGCGCTCCTTCAGTTCAAAGATGTCAGTACTCTCTTCCTTCCATAAACCCTTTCCATAATTAGGTTTTCGATTGCACTCTCTCTTTGCGTGATTTCCGATCTATCAACTGCAGCTCTACTGTTCTACTTAATTCACCTGTTTTCGACTTCGCGATTACACTTGTTTTTTTTATTTTTTTATTTTCACCATAATTCATTAGTTAATTGAACTTCATCGCTTCGCTTCTTAAATCGCTGTTCAATGGATGCTGAAACTCGTCTTCGATAGCCGATTTTGACGTAGTACGGTTTTTTGTTTATCTCAGAATTTTGATAGTCTTTTTAAATCTCGCAGCGTCATTATGCGTATTTTTGGTTTGTATCTGTATTTAATCGAGTTAAAGAGGACTCTGCGGAACAGATTGGGGAAAATGATTATTCGATCGGTGAATTAAACAAGCCTGTTTACTAGTTTTTCACAATTGAGGCGTGATGGTGTGCTGCTTTGAGAGGTTTTTCTAAGCATAATGTTTTTTTTTTTTTTTGTTTCCAGCTCAATGCAGACAAGAGTCCTTTTCAACGGACCTATGCAACTCAGGTGCGTTTGATTTTTGCTATGATAAGCCACTTCTTTGCTTCTGGAACTTGGACATAATGCAAACTCATTGTATTTTCTTTTCTTTGTTTCAATAATTATTTTTGTGTAATCAAATGCAAAAGTATTGATATTATGTTTTTAATTTGTCGGGGGATTTATATTGGTCCTTGTGAAGATAAAAAGATGTGGAGAGATGGCTCGTAGATTACGTTTTTTCAAGGAGCAAATGTTGAGGGCTGGTGTTTTACCAAAATATTCTACAACACCAATTGGTGTGAACATTGATGACCTTGAGGTGCGTGAGCATGCTTGTGGATGGAGTTGGTTTCCACTTTCTTTGAATTTATTTTATAAGTTGACATCTGGTATTGTGTTGTAATAGGTAAAACTTACAGAAATTGAGTCTGAGTTAACTGAGATGAATGCAAATGGTGAAAAGTTGCAACGGTCACACAATGAGCTTGTGGAGTATAAGCTTGTTCTGCAGAAGGTATGGTGCCTACTGCCTATAAGGATCAATATGCTCTTTCATGATGTATAGTTATGAAAATATCTAAAAATGGGTAAATTCTGGACTTTTCCTTAATTAAATTGGAATAAGGAAAACATATAAAATATTCACATGTTGAGACGTCCCACATTGGCTAGGATTCTGGCCAAAATACTCCTTATAAGATTAGGGCAATCCTCTTTGAGCTAGCTTTTGAGGTTGAGTTGGGCTCGGTCTGTTTCTAATATGGTATTAGAGCCTATCCAGTCTTAACGCTGAGCCAACTGTAAATTTCCACTTCTTACGCTCAGTTTTGGGTGTTAGGGGTGTGTCTTTACTGTTTAGAATTTTAGATATCCCAAATTGGTTACGAATATGTTTAAACATATTCTCGTTACAAGACTTGGGCAATCCACTACCCCAAACTAGTTTTTGCTGTTGACTTAAGCCAGATTCATTTCTAATAATGGGTATTTCTGATCAATGTTGTACAAGAACTAGAATTTATGAAAGTATCTCTTTTACTCATTGTGTTTGGATCATCTCATTTTGCTATCAAAAAAGCATACAAGGATAAATTTAAAATCAAATATGTGAATCGAGTTACTTCTGAACTTATTTTCTTCCCTTTGTAATCCTAAGCCAAATTCCATATGCTTGCTTTGGGGGCTTCTTGACTTATATCACTACTTTGTTCAATTGATGCATCAAGGATAAATTTAGCATAAGCATTTGTTGCACGGTGTTTCAGGATATAGAAATGAGGAATTGTTAGAATTGAACAGTTTTATTGCACAACTGTGAATAGGAGAAAGAGTTTTCGGCTATGGGTTCCCCCTTTTGTTCACACTATTTCTCTCAATGAATCCCATTTTTTGCTATCAATCTAATAGATATTCTACCTAACTGACTGCCCTAACTGTCCCTAACTACTATTCCCTATCCTTTTGTCCTACCATCTGGTAATGTGCCAAGGCATGCATTTCTACAATTTAAAGAGATAGAGACTAAGATTTGTAAAATGCTTATAGTATAAGGCATTTGTACCTAAATCAGTAAATGAGGTATACCAGCTTTCATTTATGTTGTATTCTTGTTATTTATAGCATTGGAATTTTAGATGTATAAATCTCAGGATAATACAGACCAATCACTAAATAGTTATTGCTACTTTTCAGGCTGGTGAGTTTTTCCACACAGCTCAAAGCCGTGCCTTAGAGCAGCAGAGAGAATATGAATCACGTCAGCTGAGTGGTGAATCTATGGAAACACCTTTATTACAGGACCAAGTAGACTCCTTACCTGCTCATTTATAATTTTTTTTTTTTTACAATTGACAATAGCCTTTTTAATGAATTGGTTCCTGCTGTTTGTTTTGTTGTGAAGGAATTGTTAGGTGATACAAAGCAAGTGAAGTTGGGTTTTTTAGCAGGTCTTGTACCCAGGGAAAAGTCCATGGTGTTCGAGAGAATTTTATTTCGTGCTACTAGAGGAAATGTATTTTTGAGGCAGGCTACTGTCGAGGAGCCTGTCATAGACCCTGTTTCTGGAGACAAGGTTAACCCCCCTCACCCCACTTCCACTCCCACCCCCACCCCTCATGTATGAAATAAAATAATCAGTTGTACTGTTTCAGGCAGCAGGCTATTGTTAACGTTCATATTTTACAATGATTCATTATAACTGATGGATAGACCATTCTAAAATCTTGTGTCAATGCATGTTAGTTTAGACTTTAGATGCATTCAAAGGATCTTTTTTAGAGTTTGTATGCATAATGGATGCTATAGTGCATCAATACATAAAAACCTTTTAGATAAAAGGGAGTTTGTTGGTATAACTACTTAGGTTTGTCGACTATTGCTTCTTGTCAATGATATATTGTGCACAAACATATCAGAGCTTGCCATGACCATCCAAAAAAGATGCATTGACTGACTCCTGTGTTGTGAATTTTCATTTGAAATGTGAATAGGTGACCGAGTTCTTTAATTGTTTTGTATATTGGGTTTTCCAGCTATATTTGACTGCTATGTAAATATTGTACCTGTGTGTTGGGTTGGCATATTGAAAAATGGAGGTCATTATTGAGTGATAAATCTGTAGTCTTCTACTGCTTCTTTGTATTATGCTTCTAATATTTGTCTCTGCTGTACCTATAATATGGTCGACAGTGAACATATATTTTTGGTTGAAATGAACTTCTGCCTGTTGACATATTTTTCTGGTTTATATTATGTTCACTGCAGACGGAGAAAAATGTTTTTGTGGTCTTCTATGCTGGTGAAAAAGCAAAAGCCAAGATTCTGAAAATATGTGATGCCTTTGGTGCTAATCGTTACCCTTTTGCTGAGGAACTTGGAAAACAAGCTCAAATGATTAGAGAGGTTTGTGAATTGGTTCTTAATTTTCCTAAGGAAAATATTCTTTTTCTCCTCACACACACAAGTTTTGTGCACTGCCATCCTGTGTAATGCAATACATGTAAATTGATTGCCAGAAACAATTGGAGAGTTAATTCCCAAGGGAAGTATGGACAAGCCTGTCTTTACATTTTAATTATGGGTGTGGGAGATATGGTGTAGTAGTAGTGTTGACCTTGACACAAGAGTTAGGTTGTCTTCCCTTGCTCAAGTTACTTGAAAATGAAATGGACCACCCTCAATGAAAATGTACCCTTGTAGTGAATGCTAAACTTCATTATGGCCAGGAAAGAATTGACTTAATTTCTAAGTTTTTTTCTTATGTGTCTCCAGTAACCATCAGGCTTAGTTTGAGTGGTCCTAGAGTAAGTGAATGTACAACAACCAAGAGGTAATTCAGAAATATTTCCTCAAATATTTCTTCCATAACCATATTTGCTTACTGTGAGTACTGGGTACATGTAACGTGTTACTGATTGTGATGTTTACACAGTTTGCTTTTTCTATTCGCAGGCATAGTCATGTGTTATTTGAAAGCACATATTAGTTGGTGCAGTTTATGATTGATTGATGTTGTAACTTAGATATTCTTCCTTTGTAGTTGCATAACATTTTGTGCTTCTTGCTGGTGAAATAAATTATTGAATAATAAAATAAATCATTATAGTCACTAGTGAGCCCATTCTTTCCTTTTCACATGTGACAACAATATTTTTCGAGCTAAGTTGTTTTTCTCTTTGTTTTATTTCAAAGAAGCTTCATCCTTTGTATGTTGGTGCCATGTATTAGTGAAGTTACAATGTTTTGGCTGTATCTCTAAACAGTTTAGAAAGTTCACCTGCAGGTTTCTGGAAGACTTGTAGAATTGAAGACCACTATAGATGCTGGATTAGTGCACCGGGATAATTTGCTAAATTCTATTGGGGCTCAATTTGAGCAGTGGGATGCTTTGGTATGTCAAAATAAAAACTAACATTGGTCTGTATTATGCATGTGATGAATATGAATGTATATGCCTGATTGTGTACTTTATCATGCTTTTGATTAATTATAATTTTTCATTCTCAAGTATGCAATTTACTTGTAGATTATTATTATTTTTTGTCTGTTGGAGTTAATGGTTAATTTCTCTTGACAATATTCTTTAAATTCATGAAGGTGAGAAAGGAGAAATCTATTAATCATACCCTGAACATGCTAAGCCTTGATGTGACGAAAAAATGTCTTGTGGCTGAGGGGTGGAGTCCTGTTTTTGCAACTAAACAGGTATTTATTGTCCTTGTGATCCTTTATTTTATAGTGAATTTTAATTTTGCCTTGCTAGAGTTAGTATTTTTTGTAAAGTTTATTTTATGGAACATGTTGCCTTGAATTTTCAGATCCAGGATGCATTACAGCGGGCAGCATTGGACTCTAATTCTCAAGTCAATGCCATTTTCCAAGTTTTGCATACCAGGGAGTTGCCACCTACCTATTTCCGTACAAACAAATTTACTTCTTCATATCAAGGAATTATTGACTCATATGGGTGAGCATCATATTGCTTTCATTTCCCTTTTTTATCCCTATAGTTGTAGTTGTGTAAGTGGAAAGTGGAGGTTTAGTTATTGCATACCAATTTACCTCAAATTTAGACAGGGTTGAAGTTGTATTCTGACTCCACTTGGTATTCGACCTGCATTTTATAGAAATGAAATTCTAGCTTGAGTTGGATAGTCATAAGCAAACTGCAATAATAAGATTAGCAGCCACAAAGTAAAACTTAAAATAGAGAGGTGATCACGTGGACAAGATTCAAAACCTGTATGGAAATTCATTGGTTTTTAATATTTAGAAATATGAATTCTAAAGTCCATATCATCTAAACAATTCAAATGCAAAGCTTAAAATTCAAAGGCCTCTAACCATTAAAGTGCCTTAATTTCTGAACATGTTGATCAAAATTCATATTGGAATGTGAAAGAAAGACTGCTCCAATTATCTTAACAAATAAAGAACTTGATTCCTTATTTGTTTCTTCTGTTTTTGAAAGATATCAATCTTATACATTGAACTTTTGTACTCGTATTTCAGGGTTGCTAAGTATCAGGAGGCAAATCCTACTGTGTATACTGTAGTTACCTTTCCATTTCTTTTTGCTGTAATGTTTGGCGATTGGGGGCATGGAATATGTTTACTACTGGCAGCTCTATATTTCATAATCAGGGAGAAGAAACTTTCTAGCCAGGTAACCTTTTAGTTTGCCTTGGAAAATCATCCTTTCAGAGAAAATATAAAAGGCAGGCTTTTATATTTTAATTAATGGGAAAAATCAATTAGATTTTCTCTACCTTACTAGAAAATGTTTGAATATATCTCTTGTGCTATCCATGGTAAATATATATGCATTGCCTTACTGGTAATCTATGAAGCTTGGAAATTTGATGACACAATCACTCACGGACAATACCAATGGGACATGGAAAAATGGGAAATGTGTAAAAATCCAAATAAACATATGGCCTAGATACATCAACATGAATTTAAAAAAAGGGTACTTTACATAAATGCACAATATTTGTAAGGAGACACTGATCATTTCTCACTAATACATAATTATATCAGTGGATGATAATCATCATAATTTACAACAGTACTTGTGATCATAACAAAAATCCTTAGTTACATATCTTTCTATTGCTTATATCAGAATATTTTTCCCCCTATGAACATGTTACAGAGTTACATGTTTTTCCTGCCCCATTTCAGAGTTTCACTAAAAGCATAAGTAGTCCTGCTCAAAAGAAGTCTTATCTCTGTATAATTGTCTACTTTTAGGATGTATAATGTGATCTGAATAAGGACAGCTGTTGGTCAGTCAGGTCATTTGGTAGTTAGTCAAAAGAGGTTGATTATGAATAGGGGGAATCAGATTGGGGGAGGGCATTCTGTGAACTTGATGTGTCAGTGAAAGGAATCCTCTGTAAAGGGGAAACCGGGAAACCCTTGAGAGTTTTATCCCCATTTTCTGTTCTGTTCTTCAATTATAGTTTTATTCTTTTGGTTCATTCTCTCAAGTTTTTATCTTATTTTCTGCGTTTCTATTATCACCTACTATTTACTATAATTTTGAGGATACAGAGGAAAAACTTGATCCTTCTGTAATTTTAGCCGTGTTCAAAGTATTGAAGTATACTCCTTGGATATGTACCTGGAAGTATAGTACACATGTCAGTATTAGATACAATACAAGTTCAACACTATTACTTTGCCATGTTTAGACTTTGGAGTATTTGGGGTTCATAGCTGGCTATTAATGGGGACATTTTGACAAGGTTATAGTCCTTGTGGATCAAGGAATACCATTGGCAGTATAGTTTTTGATGACTATGCAAAACTGTTCTTTGTTTCTTAACTATGTAAACTCATAGCACATTCAGTAATTTAATAATTTTCAAGGGTGTATAGTTAGTTGATAGGTACCAGAAAACTAAGGGGAGCAGAAAGGAGAACATGCTCTGTACTATCACTGAACTACAGGCCTGTGTCAAGGTGATAACAGGTCCTGGATTCTGGAAAATGTAAATAAATGGAATACAAAGAAGAAAAGAATGATCTAGGCAGGTTTGGGAGTGCCTAGTTTCTCCCAAGAGTCTCAACTAATTTCAGTCTGTCCTTCATTTTTGAAATTCCTCACCTTATATTCCTTACAACCAAATCACACACCCCATCCCTAATCTGCTGCCAACTCCGCAGTTAGTTGCTCAGAGGGGACATTTCATTTTCTCTGTCTTGGACACAATCCTTTGCCATGACCTCCTCTTTCTCCTTTCATACACCTTAATTATTTTAGGTGTTTTAGCAAGTATTTGAATACTGAGAACTTTTGGGATGTGAAATTCTTTCAACGGCATCAAGAGTGCTTTATATAATTCAAATCACTGATTATTTTTACTGTAAAAATATCATAATTTTTGTTTTAGTGTGGGAGCTGGAGGTAGTTTTCTCCCTTCATAATGAAATTGGATTCAGGCATTCAACTGCTGGTCCCTTGGTCCATTGGACTTGTTGCAAAGGACCTTGCCAACCAAGCTAACTGTCACTTTTGACCACTATTTCATTTTTTTGCAATGAAACAGATAATAAGTTCATTTATTTTTAATATGGTAAAAACTTGTTCAGATTGACATTAAGGGACCATTTGCTTTGAGAAAATATTTTAATTACTTATTTTTGTTATATTTCTTGTGTTTAATGATTTGTATAGGAAAGATTGAAAATAACGATTGTTTTCATTGGTTTCTATACAAATGAAGTTGTTTTCACCGTTTTCTATTCTATACAAATCATTGGATTGAAAACAAGGTGATGCTTTTATAGTTAAATGTAAAAAATAGAAAATATTTTTTTGAACCAAATGACCCCTAAATTTGCCATCAATTTCTGCTTGGTGGTGTGATACTTTAATCCTCTTGCATAAATATATTTGAAGTGTCAGGTGGGTTTTTGTGTTTTCAACCAGTCTTCTAAGATGTAATCTTTGTGCAAAAAACAGAAGCTTGATGACATCACGGAGATGACTTTTGGAGGTCGTTATGTTATTTTGTTGATGGCGTTATTCTCAATCTACACTGGCTTTATCTATAATGAGTTCTTTTCTGTACCGTTCGAAATCTTTGGTCCCTCTGCATATGAATGTCGCGACCTTTCTTGCAGGTAAATGTAAATCAAACCTCTTGATTGGTAACATTTAATATTTGGCTTTATGCTTAAAAAATTTTAATTACCATCTTTAATGTTCTTTTTGTATATTGTCTTTCTGATGCAGGGATGCTACAACAGTGGGCCTGATAAAAGTGCGTGACACTTACCCTTTTGGAGTGGATCCTGTCTGGCATGGCACCCGAAGTGAACTACCATTCCTAAACTCATTGAAAATGAAAATGTCAATTCTTCTTGGAGTTGCTCAAATGAACCTTGGAATTATAATGAGCTATTTCAATGCCAAATTCTTTAGAAACTGTGTAAATGTGTGGTAAGAAAAATCTTACTCTTGGGGATAGAAAAAAGGGGGGAGGGGTAGAAAAGAACTATTTTGTTGTTTTGTGTAGTTTTTTGTATATGCAATCAAATCACTGATTCTTTGTATCAGTATAAACTTGCTTACTAATTTAACATTAATGTAGTTTTTTATTTCAATGTCTCGCTCTCAGGTTCCAGTTCATTCCCCAGATGATATTTCTCAACAGTCTATTTGGCTACCTATCCCTTCTTATCATTGTCAAGTGGTGCACTGGTTCTCAAGCTGATTTGTACCATATTTTGATCTACATGTTCCTGAGCCCCACAGATGATTTGGGTGAGAACCAGCTCTTTGTTGGTCAGAAAAATTTGCAGGTTGGTTAACTTCCAAAACTCCCTTGACATCATTTTAAATTTTAATGATGTGTTTCTTTATGAATAATACTTCCATGCTTTGTTCTGATTTTTACCAGCTTGTGCTTTTGCTTCTGGCCTTTGTCTCTGTGCCCTGGATGCTAATTCCAAAACCTTTTATCTTGAAGAAGCAACATGAAGCTGTACGCTTACTTTTGTACTTCTTTTCTTTGTTTATATGGAACTTTTATCTTTGTCTTGTGCTAATATTTATGCTACTTCAGAGGCACGGGGTTGAATCCTACACACCACTTGAAAACACAGATGAGAGCTTGCAAGTGGAGTCAAACCATGATTCCCATGGTCATGAGGAATTTGAGTTCAGTGAAGTCTTTGTGCATCAACTCATACATACCATAGAATTTGTACTTGGAGCAGTCTCTAATACAGCTTCTTACCTCCGACTATGGGCCCTTAGGTATGTCTATAAGTTGTAAATATTCTATGCTAATAGTAATGCTCGATTCCTTCTAGCAAATGTATGGGCCCTTAGGTATGCTTGGAACCTTGCATCATGCAGTTTATTTATTACTTTTGTTTACCTATTCGTCTATACATGTTTCATGAATATATTAAATTACAGTTATGCATTTACTGATGTTTTCCTTTTCTGTACCCAGTCTTGCTCATTCAGAGTTATCAAGTGTCTTCTACGAGAAGGTTCTGATGATGGCATGGGGGTATGTTAAGTTTATATAAATTTGTGTTTCATTTTCTTGTGACTCATGATGTCGATTGTGGAGGGTATGAGTGGTGAGCGATCAACACATGATAAATCAATGGAAATTATTCGGCATGACTTGGCTATTGCTCGATATATACAAGTGAAATCTTAGTAACTTCCTGTCAAATGCATTTATTTGATTTTGGAATTGTATGTTTGTAAAAATGAAAAATTTATGAAAATGGTATGCACTAGACCCACTAAATTCTCTATCGTGAGCCTGGTTCTTGTTGCTCATTGTTCATTTTCTATATTCGATCAAGATTAGCCCCCTTAAATTCAACAATAGTTTGTCCGGATAATTGACATTGTAATTGCTGTGCTTGATGTTACAGGTACAATAATGTGATTATCCTGATAGTGGGTCTCATCGTCTTCATTTTTGCTACCGTTGGAGTGTTACTTGTCATGGAAACTCTGAGTGCGTTCTTGCATGCGTTACGTCTTCACTGGGTGGAGTTTCAAAACAAGTTTTACGAGGGCGATGGTTACAAGTTCCACCCTTTCTCGTTCTCATTGCAGGATGACGAGGAATGACTTGCTCTAAGATCGCATTAATAAGAACGAGGAGTTATATAGCTTTGGACCTGTATTGATTCTTTCATTTGATGTAACTAGTAAGTTGTATGCGTTGGAATTCCTTGGAGCTTTTTCATCAAACGTGCTGTCTTGCTTATTTATCCATCGAGGGAATAAATATTCCCAATTAGGGGAGTAACTTTGTATCAGCTAGTCAGGTGTGGCAAAGTGTAATAATTACAACTTACAAGATAAACTTTTTATTCATATATTTATTTGTTTAAATTTACTTATTTTGATGTCTTAATTTGCTTAATAATGAAAATGATAACGGTATTTAAAAATGAAAGTATATTTTTCTCCCACGTGGCATTATGATTTTTTTTTTCTTTTTCCATATGTACAAGATATGAAAGAAACTTCCTTTTTTTGACAAAACAATGTGAACTCGCTTTTACCTGCGCAAAATTAGGGCCAGGGGTGCACATGGTTTGGGTGTGGGAAGGTTTCGGATTCAAACCAATAAAAAAAATGGTCGAGTTGGATTGGTTAAGGTAATTTGATTTAATATTAAAATTAGTAAAACGAAAGAAAATAAAGACAGGTCAAATAAAAAAATAATTGTAACTAATATATAATGTCTTTAAATTTATCTAACCCTTGTTCAACACCCGATGCCAATATTAATTAAACTAAAAATTGTAAAACATATTTTAACAACATACCCCATTGTGATTCAATTACTAGTTTGAGCACATATATATACACAACAAAACATAGTAAGCTTGAGTACGGAACCTTTCTATTTAGCACGTAAATAAGATTTCACCTTAATTTCTCCATCCACCAAGTCAACAAATAAAAAATTTAATAAAAATATGACAATAAATATATGTGGGGTTTGATCGGGTTCAAAACTATAAAACCTGAGACCCAACCTCATTTCAAGTTCTTAAAATAAAGATAATTAAATTTGTATTTCCAATTCATCTTGATTTTTTGTTTGTGGTTAAGACAGTTGATCGAGTTATTCGAGTTCACCCGACCATTGATTATCCCTATCATTAACTTGTAAATTGTAAATCTATTGTAGATTGCATTATTGCGTATAAATTTTATGAATATTAACGAAAAAGAGACATTGTTAAAAAAAATATGAAATTTAAAATAGTGAAGTAGTTGAACAAATTAGTTAAAAAATAAAAAAGAAAGTCCAAAAAAAGTGCATATCAAAACATAGTATCTTTGTTAAATGTTATAAATATAGATAAATGATATAAAAAATACAAATTTTAAAGTATTCAAAGGATTATTTTATTGGTAAATAAAATATAAAATGAAAAAAAAAAAGATAAACTCTTTTTCTTCTCTAATTTTAAAATTGAATTAAATTGATAGAAGGTTGATGATAATTTATATTTTACTATATTTAATATTGATAAAAAAAAGCTTGTAATTGTCACAAAATAATTATATAAAAAAAGCACGAAGGAGTTATCATATTTTTAAGACTACATTTTATTACATTGAAATATATAAATACATTAAGATGAAATAAATATTAATTAATTTTGGCATAGTTCGTCTAAGGTTTTAAGTTAAACAGTTGGCGAGAAAATTACGACCACTGAGAGTACATAGTTGTGGGAATGAAGAGCAATTCATCATAAAGAAGGTCTAAAAACTGTTTAATATTAATTGCGTAGGTTAATTGCTTGCTTTAAAAAATGGGCAGCAAATATCCTTTCCTACTGAGTAGTTGTATGAACAGCAGCCACAGTTGAAACCATGGAGTCCACCCCACAGACATTTCGTCCCCGGCATATCTTGTAGAATCCATTTTCTCCCCACTTCTCTCCCCACGAGTTCTTGATTATCCAAAATGGCTTCTCCTTCATCCGAATGGGTGAATAGCCACCTGAACCATATCCTACCAGCAACACCCCATGATCCAGCCTTCTTGAACATATGTACGGGCATGATACTCCACCGATATATGTCTGCATAAATACTGCATTGATCGCCACTGCATTTGTATTGTGCCCATTCAATGTCATATGATATCAGTCATGTCATATTAATAGTTCAATAAAAATTGCTCCAAACAGAGTAATAGACTAATACTAGTACTCACCAGCAAGAGGGCCATTTTTCACCAGATTCGCAGCAATCTGGTCTTCATCTAGTGAGATGACACTGAAGTTTGCCACTGAGGCTGCAATCTTTCCTTTATCGAATTTGCAGGTCCCGCGATCAGTGCCAGAATAAGGATAGTCTTCCTCGCGCATGACTCCACCAGATTTTAGGATGTACTCAAAAGCACTATTCATCAATCCACCATTGCACCCGGAGTCGCAAGAACCTGGTTCATCTGGATCACACTGCACATTGGAATGGGTCCAATTTAGAATTCACTTCACTTGTATCAAACTTGATTACAATGATTCATTTAAGAACTATGTTCATTTGCAAATTATTTTATATGTAATATTCTAATGATTTATTATCATTTGTGAGAATTTATGAAAACTACTTAATTTTGAATGCTTTTTTGGATTTAAAGCAATTCAAAAAGATAAAGTGCATTTATAACCACCGATATTTTTTTATCCATTGTAATTACAATAATAACACCAAGTTCATTAATTTGAACACATGCAAACAAATTAAAAAATCATGAAATCTTAACTGTTATAATTATACTTTATTATCTTCTAAAATGCACCCGTCAATCTAACACACCTATCACCTTAAGAAACCGTATTTTCTTATGAATAAATAAGAACAAGAGGATAGTTCAGCAGTAGTACCTTAACCCTAAAGCCAAATTATATTAAAACTTCTTATGACACTTGCACCAAAAGTAACCATTCAATTCTAAACTATAATTAATCCATATAGTCTCTTGACCTCACACAACAATTACACCATAATAAACAACCTCAAAGAGTAGCATGCACAAAAATAGAAAGAAAGAAAGAAACCTCGTGATCACAATCAACAAGCTGCTGCTCGCTAAGACTGACAAGTTCCCCAGTAGCCAGAAAGTGCGCACCTTCCAGAGCCCCAGTGGTGCTGAAGCTCCAACAAGAACCGCACGAACCCTAATTCCCCAAAAACATCAAAATCAAACATCCTTAAACACAAACAACATTAAAATAAAATATTATTTATTGGTACCTACCTGATTCTTAACAGGAGTAACTGCTCCATGATCTCTCCAATCAAAATCACTGGGAAGATCGTCAGTGGGTAGAATCGGTGCTTTATTCGCATCGGTAGGCAACCTCACACCTCTCAGTCCCAAAACCTTCTTTTTGAACTCCGACGGCGTCAGATCGGAGAACCGCGTCACGCCGTGAACCGCCGAAGGGTCCAGGCTCTGGTGGCGCCGGGCGCGGCGCAAGTTAGCCTCGAACACCCTCAACCTGTAATCGTGCTCCTCCTGGGACTCGTACGCCTTCCCGAACCTCAGCTTGAACTCCGAAAAGTGCTGCTCCGCCCCCACGCCGTCCACCACCTGCCGGATCAACGCCTCCTCGCCGCCGCCGGAAGAGGTCGCCTCCGCCGCCGCCGCCGCGAATGCGACGCAGAAAACTGCGAATAGGATAAGAATCTGATTCATGTTGAAAAAATGGTGCTTTGTGTTTGTGTTGTGTGGAGAGTGGGAAGTTTTTATTTATAACGTAACGGTCATGCTAAGAATAAGAACCAAACCCGCGATTGCTTAGGAAACAGGTAAGGTTTAAGTAACAGAATCAACTGGCTTTCGCTGTACTCATCCAAAAGCCCAATAACAATTAACGGGCTCAATATTCTCTTTCTCAACACTTATGATATATACACCTTCATGATAAGGAAATAAAAAATCTTAAAATATATTTTATTTTTTATTTTTAGATATTTAATATTTAATTTAGTATTTTTTATTTTTTACATATATCTTTTTTTTTGTTTGACTCATAATATATATATATATATAAATATATATATATATATATATCTTAAAATGAAAAAAAAAAAGATAAACTCTTTTTCTTCTCTAATTTTAAAATTGAATTAAATTGATAGAAGGTTGATGATAATTTATATTTTACTATATTTAATATTGATAAAAAAAAGCTTGTAATTGTCACAAAATAATTATATAAAAAAAGCACGAAGGAGTTATCATATTTTTAAGACTACATTTTATTACATTGAAATATATAAATACATTAAGATGAAATAAATATTAATTAATTTTGGCATAGTTCGTCTAAGGTTTTAAGTTAAACAGTTGGCGAGAAAATTACGACCACTGAGAGTACATAGTTGTGGGAATGAAGAGCAATTCATCATAAAGAAGGTCTAAAAACTGTTTAATATTAATTGCGTAGGTTAATTGCTTGCTTTAAAAAATGGGCAGCAAATATCCTTTCCTACTGAGTAGTTGTATGAACAGCAGCCACAGTTGAAACCATGGAGTCCACCCCACAGACATTTCGTCCCCGGCATATCTTGTAGAATCCATTTTCTCCCCACTTCTCTCCCCACGAGTTCTTGATTATCCAAAATGGCTTCTCCTTCATCCGAATGGGTGAATAGCCACCTGAACCATATCCTACCAGCAACACCCCATGATCCAGCCTTCTTGAACATATGTACGGGCATGATACTCCACCGATATATGTCTGCATAAATACTGCATTGATCGCCACTGCATTTGTATTGTGCCCATTCAATGTCATATGATATCAGTCATGTCATATTAATAGTTCAATAAAAATTGCTCCAAACAGAGTAATAGACTAATACTAGTACTCACCAGCAAGAGGGCCATTTTTCACCAGATTCGCAGCAATCTGGTCTTCATCTAGTGAGATGACACTGAAGTTTGCCACTGAGGCTGCAATCTTTCCTTTATCGAATTTGCAGGTCCCGCGATCAGTGCCAGAATAAGGATAGTCTTCCTCGCGCATGACTCCACCAGATTTTAGGATGTACTCAAAAGCACTATTCATCAATCCACCATTGCACCCGGAGTCGCAAGAACCTGGTTCATCTGGATCACACTGCACATTGGAATGGGTCCAATTTAGAATTCACTTCACTTGTATCAAACTTGATTACAATGATTCATTTAAGAACTATGTTCATTTGCAAATTATTTTATATGTAATATTCTAATGATTTATTATCATTTGTGAGAATTTATGAAAACTACTTAATTTTGAATGCTTTTTTGGATTTAAAGCAATTCAAAAAGATAAAGTGCATTTATAACCACCGATATTTTTTTATCCATTGTAATTACAATAATAACACCAAGTTCATTAATTTGAACACATGCAAACAAATTAAAAAATCATGAAATCTTAACTGTTATAATTATACTTTATTATCTTCTAAAATGCACCCGTCAATCTAACACACCTATCACCTTAAGAAACCGTATTTTCTTATGAATAAATAAGAACAAGAGGATAGTTCAGCAGTAGTACCTTAACCCTAAAGCCAAATTATATTAAAACTTCTTATGACACTTGCACCAAAAGTAACCATTCAATTCTAAACTATAATTAATCCATATAGTCTCTTGACCTCACACAACAATTACACCATAATAAACAACCTCAAAGAGTAGCATGCACAAAAATAGAAAGAAAGAAAGAAACCTCGTGATCACAATCAACAAGCTGCTGCTCGCTAAGACTGACAAGTTCCCCAGTAGCCAGAAAGTGCGCACCTTCCAGAGCCCCAGTGGTGCTGAAGCTCCAACAAGAACCGCACGAACCCTAATTCCCCAAAAACATCAAAATCAAACATCCTTAAACACAAACAACATTAAAATAAAATATTATTTATTGGTACCTACCTGATTCTTAACAGGAGTAACTGCTCCATGATCTCTCCAATCAAAATCACTGGGAAGATCGTCAGTGGGTAGAATCGGTGCTTTATTCGCATCGGTAGGCAACCTCACACCTCTCAGTCCCAAAACCTTCTTTTTGAACTCCGACGGCGTCAGATCGGAGAACCGCGTCACGCCGTGAACCGCCGAAGGGTCCAGGCTCTGGTGGCGCCGGGCGCGGCGCAAGTTAGCCTCGAACACCCTCAACCTGTAATCGTGCTCCTCCTGGGACTCGTACGCCTTCCCGAACCTCAGCTTGAACTCCGAAAAGTGCTGCTCCGCCCCCACGCCGTCCACCACCTGCCGGATCAACGCCTCCTCGCCGCCGCCGGAAGAGGTCGCCTCCGCCGCCGCCGCCGCGAATGCGACGCAGAAAACTGCGAATAGGATAAGAATCTGATTCATGTTGAAAAAATGGTGCTTTGTGTTTGTGTTGTGTGGAGAGTGGGAAGTTTTTATTTATAACGTAACGGTCATGCTAAGAATAAGAACCAAACCCGCGATTGCTTAGGAAACAGGTAAGGTTTAAGTAACAGAATCAACTGGCTTTCGCTGTACTCATCCAAAAGCCCAATAACAATTAACGGGCTCAATATTCTCTTTCTCAACACTTATGATATATACACCTTCATGATAAGGAAATAAAAAATCTTAAAATATATTTTATTTTTTATTTTTAGATATTTAATATTTAATTTAGTATTTTTTATTTTTTACATATATCTTTTTTTTTGTTTGACTCATAATATATATATATATATAAATATATATATATATATATATCTTAAAAAATATATCTTAAATATACTTCTTTTTCTTTTTTAATAAAAATAAATTCTTGAAATATCATGAACATAAAATAAATAAGAAAAAAATTATAAATTAAACAATAAAAGAGTAAATTCCAAGCGTGTGGTTCAGCGGCAGATCCATACTTAAGCAAGGTCAGAGATTCGAATCCTATCTTGTATATGCAGCCGCATTAAATCTTGGGACCAGTTATCTCATCCTGTTCAACCTAGTGACGACCAAAAAAATATTCAGGACAAAAAAAATAAAAACATTTTAAAAAGTAAAAAGGTGGTGTATATATATGAGCCCTTTCTCAAACTAATTGGGCCTTTTTGGGCCCTTTGTTGGAGATTTGATTATTATTGACCTAACCCAAATGAAAACAAAAAATCTTCCCTGAAATTCACTTCCACAGCGGAACAGCGAAAAAACCTTCTTCTTCGACCTCGGTATACAGTTTTTTCCTTTCATTCGGCGATTGTGACGCGTATTATGGAGTTTTTGTTATTTTTATTTTGTGTTTAATTTTTGTGGATGCTATGAATCTAGTGTTTTCTTATAGTTTGTGTGAATTGCAGATGGAGGGTAAGCTTGCTGAAGAACTTTATGGTGAAAGTTTACAATTGTCAAAATTAGAACTCACATCCAGCAGTGCTGAAAATAATGAAAAAATGGCAAACGGTAAGATGTATGTAGTGTGAGTGAATTGATATGGAAATTGGAAACACTTTTACTAATAATTTATGACACAAATGGTTTGCTTTAAAATTAGTCAGTGGCTATAATGATGATTTGAAGATATTGCTGGTTAGGGTATGTTTGACGTATAATTACATTATAAGTTTCTCCAATTTGTAGAAGCTAATATGTACAAGTTTTTTATTATATTAACTTCTCCAAATTATGATATGTCTAAGTTAATTTTATTTTATTGAGAAACTTAATTTATTTCATTTTATTTATTATAGAAAATTTTATTCCATAAACTAACAGTAGACCTTTTCATATTATTGCACTACTGAATTTGGTTTTGTAAATGGATCTATGTTATTTTAAAAATAAAAATAAAAATTCAGTGTCTTGCTTTAAGGCAAGCTAATTTTATATTATGCTTTTTAGATTATGATGGTGATGATTTGAGTTTGTGGGATGATTCTGATGACAAGTTGGATAGTTCGTCGGATTTGGAAAGGGAGTGGCAGAGGAGGCATGAACAATTCCATACGGTATTTTGGTATTCTAGAATTTATTTATTTTTAGTTTCTAATTTTTTTTATTACTTCTATATTGTGATTAGCTATTCATTTTCATTCTCCATCATATTTTAGATTGGGTATCGAGATGGACTTATAGCGGGGAAGGAAGCTTCTGCACAAGAAGGTTTCAATATCGGTTTCAAACAATCGGTTCTTGATGGTTACAGTTGGGGTGTTGTAAGAGGTGTTACCAGGTATTCTGAGGGAACACATGCAGTTTATTTAAATTTTATTACTGTTACTGGTTCACTATTCTTAAATTTCCTTTTTGGCTATTTGCTTCTTGTGAAGTGCTTTTTCTCATCTTCCACATCAATTAAAAGAGATGTTGATTGAAACACAAGAGAAGAGGAATGAATTCCAAGGGCTGTATGAATCTGTGCATTCTTTGTCAACAACAGATGCTCTTAAATTGTTTAGTGAAGAAATCAAAGAACAAGAAGCTTTGAAACAGAGTGAGCACTTAGAAGTTAGCCATCACACAGCTCGTTTGCCAGAGCAGCCTTCCCATGGCTCTCAACTGAGAAACTACCACGGTCAACTTGAATCTCTGCTTCATGATTCTCCTGCCATTGGTATTCATTTATCTGAACCAAAATAAAATGGTGAATTTGTGATCTATAATTTTGTGACACACTTTAGCATAGGATGATAAGAGCTTCTTTGTAGAACATGTTTTCCATTTTTATTGTAAAGACAGATCAATTGATGTAATTGTTTAGTTATATTAATAGAAGTTGTTATGTGCAATGTAAACTAAACTTTCAATAAATTTTTTTTTTATCTGATCTTCTTTTCCCTTTTTCTTAGCCTTAGTTGTTATCATAAATATTCTAGGTAATTAAACTTAAAGGTGGAACTAGAAGCAGAATTTGTCTTGTTAATCAAACACAGTTGAACCCATCAAAACAAGTTGGAATGCAATTGTAATTTGCTTTCTGATTCATGGTTATTAAAAAACATTGTGTATTTATTATCACGTAAATAACTATAACTACTTTTACATACCAACACTACGGTTTAGCTTAAGTTTCCCCTAACTGGACCCTCTCTCTCCCCCCTAATTATATATCATTGTTGTTGATTAGTCTAGTATATGGCTTGAGCTACATATGGCACTGTTGTTTACTCAAATCATAACATCATGTTCTTTATCATGAATTAAACCGGCAGATAAAAAAAAAGTTGTTTTTTTTATTTAATCTCTGTAAATACGAATTTACTCCTTTATAGTTCCCAGGGGCACAACCACAATCTGAAATTTTGAATAACAAAAACTCAACAAGTTAGCATTATTATATTTTTCATTTTTCACTCGCCATGGAATTATTCGTTGAGCACAATCATTCACTAGTTGTATTTCAATAATTCCTGATGATGAAAGATAGAAGAAAAATAAAAAACAAAATTATATAAAGCACGTATTATTATATATGCTTTTACATGGTACAAACAAAAATAATAGATCCGGAGCTTGATTTTCATTTATTATAAACTAAAGTTCTAGTACATCAAATACAACTAAAAGAAAGTAAACACGAAAGCACTCTGAACAAATTTTGGCAACAAATCTCATCCCATTCTTGTGTTTCAGTTTCCATGTAAAAGCCATACGACCCTGCAAGTTGAATTTTCTCCAAGTTACTTCTGGTCATGGATATTGGCTTTTTCTTCGTGTCTTTCTCCTTTTATTCCTGAGCAAGTTAGCACTTGTTAAAAGGAATCAGAGAAGACCTCTGTGTTTTTACCTTAGTTGCATGCATTATGCATACATCAGCTACACGCTTGAATAGGTCTTGCACGAGCAAAGGCTGAATCATTTCTCATACGGGTTTCACATTTGGGCATTGACGTTACTGTTTCAAAAGCTTCGACCAGCAATGACACCTTCCTTTTCCCTGCTGGAGCCAGTCTCGTGACAGTTTGTCTTAGTGCAAAATCAAGCATCCATTCCTCTGCATTTTTTCTTTCATCTATCATTTGGTGCTTCAGTTCAACTTTCTCTGGTTCTGGCTCAGCAACCGAGGTCAGGAAATTTGGTTTTCTTGGGTTGATCTTTCCCATTTCCTCGTCCTCTTCGACCAATCTTTTGCGCTTAGTTCCCCATTGCCAATTCTTGCTCATGTGCTGCTCTTCACCACCTGTGCTCTGCAACTTACTACTGCCTCTAACATGATTTTTCTCCCATAATTTCTGCTTCTGAACAATAATGGTACTTTCTTCAGGCACATCAGACGAGTGAATTATGCCATCATCATTATTCTCTACGCTTGCACTCTTGTCTTCACAACTCTTATCAATCTCGCAACTTTCACTAGTCTTGTGGCCTTCACTGTTTTCAACTGTCTCTTCATCGAGTACCATAGAGACATAACCGACCTCATAATTCACTTGTTTTTCATTTTCTCTGTTGTTGCTATCTTCTGCGTTTGTCAGATACTGAAATACTTCCTTTGTCAAAGTAGATTGTTCATACTCAAAACTTATACCATTGGACGGATAATCTATTTCTTGAGTCACAAAATCGATGCTTTCACCTGTGCCTACCATGACAGAATTAGTGCAATGAGGTTGTGCTTCAAAACTGGTGCTTTTCTCTTCTTCGGCTTCTTGGAGACTCACCTCTTCAACCAGAATGTCTGAATAATGGTTGCTAAAGATGTCAACTAACAACATTTCAGATATATCATGTGAACCCTCTGATAAAGACTCAAGTTTTGGGTCAGTCTCCTCCATAGAGCAGATTGAAGAATCAGTACCGTCTTCATAGTTGAATTCACAGAAGTATTCCTCCTCCCAATCCATATCACTATATTGGGATTTGGACTCAACCAATTCAATATTCTCGTGGTGTTCCTCATCATAGCTAGCATCATTGGAATAGCTTCCCGTACAGGTTTCTTCGTGAAACCAGCTATGTGGGTGGTTTTCATTTGCATCTTCAGCATTTTGAAAGCTCCCCTTGCTGTCTGCTTCAACTGCAGCAACATCAGCAAAGTAGTTTTTGAAATCCTCCTCGAAATAGATCTTAGACTTTGAGAGATCACGAATTACACCTGGAGTAACTTGCTTGATGGCACCCTCTTCTGCTGCAATGCCATTCTCCTCATTTGCAGAATCGATATCTTGTTCCTCAAGATCTTTGACAGAGTTGAATTTTCCCATTTCATGAGCTCCTTCCCTCTCCTTAGCATAGATTTCAAAAAAGAAATCCATACCAATTTCTTGTGCCAATGGAGTGATTGTTGTATTACCCGTATCAGTTTCATCACATGCAGGTTTTCCATGAATATCAGAGTCTTTTTGTGTATCAGAGGGGAGCATCTTCCATCGTTGAGTCTCCAAAAGATGTCTCCTTGCTGACATGAAGCTCTTCAAAGGAGGCAAAGGAGCATGACCATGGTCATTAAGAGAACAATATGAATACGGGCAAACCTTCATGACAGAAGCTCCCTCAGATTCGGTTGCCCCGGGATGAAGCATGAGGTACTCAGGGAACTTATAGTCTTTCAAAGTTGAAGAGCAGGTAGCCCTCTCTGGTGCATTCACATCTTCAAACAGAACTGCTGATGTGAATTTTCTCGAACAAGCTTTACAAGGCTTAAAACTAGGAGTCTTTGATGTTCTCGTTGAATTCAAGCTAGATGATCTTGACAAAGTTTTTGCAAGCTCTTTGCAAGAAACAAAGCTAGCTTTTGAATTACTCAAAGATTTTCGGGTTAGATTCTTACCATCTGAACTAGATCGAGTATTTCTGTGACTAACAGGCAAAAGCTCCTTTTTGGCATCTGAACTGCTGGTAGGCTTCATGTAGTTAGGTGACCTTCTCATCAAATGCTTGTGCTGTTGTGGTGATGCTGCAATAGTTGAAACATGAAGAGGTGGTGGCTTTCTTGATTGAGGAGGCTCCAAATAAGAAAGCTGAATTGACCTTGGCTTCATCATTTTCTTCATCTTATTGGTTCCTCTGGCGGTGCCATCTTGGTGATGAGAAGATGGCTTTAGGTTTGCTAAGGACTTGTCTGATTTGACACGATCAGCTTGGATATCAAGCTTGCTTAGAACCTTTCTCTGAACCATATTCAAAAGGGAATTTGGAATCAAAACTAGTCTTCCTTTCTATGGTGGAGTTCAAGCACAAGAAGAAAAGAAATCCTCTTGTGCTTCTGTTTTCCACAAAAGGAAGTTCACATTGCAAGAAAAAAGGAGGGACTGTATCCCAAACAACCACGAAGATTCTCCACTCTTGGTTTAATTTGCTTTGTTTGCAGAACGTTTCCCTCTTTGTTATTCTCAGTTGTTGTTGGGCTGGTAAAGAAATTTAAACAAGGCTGATACAAGTGTTTCATGCTGAAACGTACTAACGCGGGGTTTACGGACCCTTTGTGCTTGATAATTATTAGTATTTGTAATTGTAACACCAGAACTCTCCATATGCTAGTGACTTGTTTCTTATATTTAAAGCATAAAATCGTTGTTGATTTGATTCCTCAACTCATCCACCTTGAGGTGACTATATTACCCTCTTTGATTTGGATGAGGAAAAACTTGAGGCATTTTCTAGGTGACAGATGAACACATTACATTTTTTTTTCCTACTTTTGCATGCATTTTTTATATGGCAATTAAGTTCTATTAAGGCAACCCTTTGGTTCACGAAATCACCTCAACTGTTTTTTTCTATCAATCAATTGCTTGTTAATGGTGTTACATAAATAGATTTGCAAGTACTGTGTTATTAAAATGGTAGGTATCTATTTTATATGAATGGATTATGAATAGCTCTTTCATGGATGTCTTCAGTTCGTACAGTGTTGGTTTTGCCTTTTATTGAGGAGAATAGCAGTTGGAAGTTCGAAGTAGTTAAATTTGCTCAAGAAAAATAACTACGAATAGAAAGACTTCTTTTGGTCTACGTGAACGGAAACACAAATAAATGTTCATAAATTGTACAAGTTATGGCGCGCGTGTACCTACCTAGATATTTTCTTTATCGATTTGTCATCTTCAATTTTGACACAAAATTCACATATGTTAAAAATACCTTTTTTTAGTCTATATTGTTTTATTTATTTTATCTCTTAGTCCATATGTTTATATTTTTTAATTTTTATAGATCAACATAAATCTTTTTAATTCTTTGTAATTTTGTTATCTTTTTAGTTTCTATCACTTTTTTTTTATAACATTATTTGTATTGTGTTGACAAAATCTTCAATATCATAATAGTAGAAAAAATGTATGTTAACAATGAATATTGTAAGAGAGGATACAAAAGATGAACAAGGCGTCAAAAAATATAATTTAAAATAATTTCAACAAAATAAATTCAACATCAAACATACAAAGTTGAATTAAAATCTCTATCACGTCAACACAAAAGAGACAAATACAAAAAAGAATTAACAAAGAGGTTAAAAAGATTGAAAAAAGTTTAGGGACTAAAAAAATCTCTTAAATTATAGAGACTAAAAAAGATTAAAAAATATAAGTATTTTAACTAAAAATGTTTGTTTTAAATTATAGAAACTAAAAGGTAAAATAAGTGAAATTATAAGAACTAAAATAAAATGTGTTTCTATGTACACCAAATTAACTACTATGACATGTGATAGGATTTTTGTAGGATAAATTGGGAAGGATAAATCACTCCAAAAAAGGAATTTATTGATTCTCTCATAATTGGTTGGACTATAAGTTTGATGATTGATTTCACGGACGAGGTTATTGGTACAAGTCTTGGATGACATAGATATAAATCTAACTTGACTCTTTCATATAGGTGTTATGATTGATTTCCCAAACGAGATTTCTAATTTAAGTTTAAGATGATGCAGATAGAAAACTACTTGACTCCTTCATGCATTCTCCACTTGACTCGAGGAGACAACTCAATTGGTACAGCTTTGCTCTTACATTTGAGTGCTTGAGATTATGGGTTAAATGTCTAATTGTTTCGAAGATAATCGTAATATTTTATATCTGAATTGACTACTCATTTTTCCTAAATAAAAAAAGGATTGATACAGGTTTACTTGTATTCCTACTTGACTCAAAAAAAATTATGATCAATTTTGTAAAATTAAACTTGATCAAATCAAAACTTGACAAATATGGTAACAAGACTGAATCATCTCGACTTATTAGCATAATATATTAATTTAAACATTGTATGAGTTAAATTATGATATTAAAAAATACAACTATAATTAAGGTATACTTTATGATATATATTTCAAGATAAATAATACCAATATAAGCATAATATTATACTAGATAAAATATGATTTATTAATCCAAGGAATTATAATATTAATACACAATTATTTTTAAAAATTATTAAATATATGATATTGAATCGGATTGGGACAACCAAAAGAATAACATGAACTCAGGACTAAAATATTTTACGTCTAATTTGTTAAACTTGAGATTAATTCGAAGGATGGGGAAAAATATAATACAATAAGATGACTAAATTTAAAAAATATTTTTTATTTTTATTTTTTAAAGATAAAAAATATTACAATTGTCATAATAAAGATTAAACTTAACACCTCGTACTTCTCCCATCCGAATCCCTCGCCCAACCACTATTATGTTAAGACGATGTTTGAGCTATGGTTCTACCATGATCCCTTTTCTTTAACTTTAGTATACGTACTTCCTTCTCGCATTTGCCTTTGGAGTTTGGACCTTATGGTTAAATACATTTGCAACTCACATGCAATGTCAGTAGTTGATAATAAAGGAATAGTTTTTTTTCTTCTTATAATCCTATAATTGATCGATACATTTTAAATTTCATGATAATCAATAATAATTGCTTCAAAGTTTATAAGTGTTTTATGTTATTTTCATCAAATTAATCATTACTTTTGGTATATTACGTAAACTATTTTCATTGACTAAAAAAATTTATAATGAGAAATTTATAATTAATTTAAATTAAGGGTATAGTTTATACGTTTTAAAAAAATATAGTTGGATGCATGGTGCATGGAAGGGAGGTGGAAATTTTTTGTCATTATGAAGCCAGGAAGACAAGTTTGTAGTTTTGCGAAAATGGGCTGCCTGTGAGCCTACATGGGCCACGGGCCATGGGCCCATCTCAACAACTCTCTACGCTCCTCTCAAGATTCAAAGAATGCTAAAATGGTACGGACCCACTTCCCCAAGGTTAAAACTTAAAAGGTTAAGACCTCAAATCAATGGTTTTTCCATTTGAGGCAATGAGATGCCACCGGCCAATGTTTGCTCTTATGTAATTGATAATGATAATGATCCTAAATTAAAAAATGTAGCTATCTGAAATAAGATCAATGAAGATGTTTTTGGGTAGTATTCAAAAATCGGTTAAATCAGTTTGTGGAGAGCATGACTTGATGTAGTCTAGTCACCAAGGAAAATAAAAGAAAGAGTCCAATATAAGTTATAAATAATCATCTAAACAAAATAAATAATCTTAAAGCACCCTGAAATCGTAATTTCTTTTTCAGAAAATTATATTACCATTAAATATCACCATCTTTCATACTTATATACCCACTTTATATGTCTTCACAATTTTTAATAGATACTAGTTACTACTTTTGAAATTTTTCGTAATAAATTCTTTATACCAATATCATATTAAAACAAATTATCACTTAAAATTTACTGTTGAAGTTAATTTAAATATTTGTCGTCATAAAGTAAAAAGACAAAATGCGGAGCCATTCTCATTTAATTTTAATTTTAATTTCTTTTGGTTAATTTTGAAGTTGAATGATAGAAGTCATTAATTGAATATTGAAACTCTATTTAATTATCATTATATCAACAGGCTCCTTACAATGTCAGCCTAGAAGTTAATTTTATAGTTGAGCCAATCGTGACAGGTAAAGACATTTTTTTTTTCATAAACGGGAAAGAGAACCTTCATTCCAAATACTTTTTCAACCTTTCATTTTTTGATTGACTTTCCTTTCAAGTTAATATTTACATTACTTCTTTCATATTTATAACGAAATGAAACATAATAATAAGTGTATATAATTTTTTATAACTTAAATTCAAAGCTAATAATGCATTCCTGTATTATAAATTAAAGAGAAATGTTTTCTATATAACAATTTGTATAATAAAAAAAAGACAAAAGAGAGAAACATGTGATGTAATTAATGATATGATAAAAAAATAATTATATAATATAAATCGTTAAACAAATTCTAAATTGTTATATTGTATGAACAACAAAATCCCAAGATTAGAACGGTCAATATCGTGGTGAAATTAAAACAGAATATATAAAGTAATTTTTTTTTATAGATAGGATGGTATTGATAGAAGTATTTATCAAAATTCTTGAAACTTTAATAAAAATAAAGTAAAACTTCAGGATCAACTATTGTACGCCTAAATAAAAATAACAAAATCCTAAATTAAAATATACAACTTTAAAAGTGGGATTCTTGTTTTCCCCATTCAAATCAATATTCTCAATATTTTATCTTTTCTCTCGTTCAAATACGCATTTCACGTATTATTCACTGGTGTTTTAAAAAATTCAGCAACAAAAGCTAGTGTTTTAGAAGTCGAAAGTGAAAATTCTATTTCACTATTTATTAGTTCGCATAATTTCCTATATACCAAACATCCAACCTTATTTCTCCTCTTTCATTTCATTATCTGTATCTCTTATTTCTTAAAAAGCTGTGTATATCAATGACTAACAAAACTCAAATACTCATTTTCCAATTCTTTCTTATAATATTTTTTTTTTCCTTTTAGTAACTTAATAACTTATAATAGTTAAATAGTAACACATGTTTACCAATTAAACATAAACGAGCAAGTTATTATATGAATGGTACTGAATCCGATTTTTTTAAAGAAATTTTCAAATTTAAGTCTTGTGGATTAAAAAATAAATAAAAATTAATCATCGACAAAATTAATAAATATTTCATATTAATAATATGATTACTATAATATATATAT